CGAGCGGATGCCCAAAAATACTCCTGACCTGAAACGGACGTGCAGGACATCGAGAGCAGTTGCACACCCAAGGAAGCCCCTTTGGGCGACCGCCTTCACACCCCCACCGAATCTTTCAGGTGAAGAGTGTGGGGTCCCTAACGGATCTAGCCCTGCCTACCAGGACAACGGAACAAACACTGGAGTTCCACGGGTGAACCGCCTCCCTCAATCAACCATGCCAAGTTAGGCTGGGAACCTTGAACAGTGAATGGACATCTTCAGTTCTCCTTGAGAAATCCCCATTGCCGGCTGCGCATCCGGCAAAGCAAAGTGGGGGCCCGCCCCTCCCGCCCCGCACAGGCGAATTGACCCACGCCGCCTCCGGCACCATGAGCTGAATTTTCGGCGCCAGCGCGCTAGGCAGGCGGCCAAGCTCCGACACCAGCAGCTCCAGGCCGTCCTTGCGGGGGGCTCGACGTGGTGACTCCAGTCAGAGGCCGGGCCAAAACGTGGGAAAACCATGAGGTTCCCTTGGGAAAACCGATGGAAGCTGCTGGTTGAGTTCATGGTTTGAACATCTTCAAGATTGAATCCGGCTTTGAAGTCACAAACAAGACATGTTGGAAAGTTGCCTCAAACTAAATTCGCGGCACTTTACACCCTCGTCACAGCTGCTAAACGCGCAAGCCAATAGCGTGGCAACTTGATACTAACTGCGACGCAAAGCAGCAAGCGGCATGCTCTGTGGCGCGAACCGAGCGTTTTGGCGTGCGTCGAGAAAAACCAACTTTCCCCACCCTAGCTTTCCCACCCACTCACGAACCAATCTAGCAACCCCAGCAACCCATCGCTGTCAGCCCGAAAACCACACCTGCAGCTCCGCAGGTGGACCCCTCAGCTCCGCCACACGCAGATCACGGCCGAACTCCGGGTCTGCGTGGAACTGGATATGTGCCTCGGCAACGCGATCAACAACTGACGTGCCCCTTTTCCGTTTCTCGTGGTCACACAAGCCATGGTGAAAACTTCCTATGTGTTACATGGGCATTGCACCCTTTTGTGTGGCAAACTCCCTAGCAAAGGGTTCATGACCATCGCTAGGAATCCGAGCAAACACTGGCGAAGCTAGATCCAAGCAATACTCCTCTGAGACTTAAAATGCCAAAGAGGTATCCCATTTCCGAAGAAGTCGTCTCGACACACACTTTTGCGTTGGGGATCCATGAAACGTATTCCCACGGAGTGAAAAGTCAAATGCAAATTGGTGCTTCCACCTTGATTTCAAGGAGCAGAATTGGTCCTTGCTTGACTTCCTGTGCAGAAGAAGCGGCTCCAGAGTCCTCTTGCAGGAGCTTGATCCTCTTGCCACCTACGCGTTTCACATGCACCACAAATTGGGGCCAGATCAGTCATGCCATTCTTCCCTTCCGAGACAGTCCAAGTCCTCAAGAGAGAACTTCAACTTGTCTCCGTCTTCGGTATTACCCAAGTTCTTGGCAAACAATTTGTCACACACCAGATGCTGCATTTCCCCTTTTGACCTTCATCCCGCCCTAAGAAACTTGTTTTGAACTGACCAACGGGGAAATATACTAGCTCCTCCAGTAGAGAGGATAGAATAAGGTTGCCAACTTTTTCCTGTAGTCGATTTTAATAGGGGAACCCTCCCATACAACCCAAAAAAAAATGGTAAGAAAGGGCACCTAGCTGGGGGACCTAGTATAGGAAGCCCCGGAGCACGGCAAGCGCATTGCCCACTTTACATCCGAAAGCAGCGGCCTCTGCCGATCAAAAGGCCAGCTGCATGCACGCTCATCACCAGGCGCGCAGACCATTCGCTGTCCAGGGGCCGAGGTGCCTGAAACGAAGGGAAGCCTTGCACATGCATGTAAGCCTGTGTGCAAAAACACAAAACATACACATCTGTACATAGCGATACGAATCATGTATACCACCAAAGGTTCACGGGGGTTCGGGGGTGGGGTGGGGTGGGGGGCTACTTGTCTGACCCATGACCATTTGGGGTGAACGATGAACTACATAGATGTACACATGTATATGATGCACAGAAATGCATCTATGTGTATAGTATGTGTATGTACACAACTATGTGTATACAACGTGTGCCTGTATATGTGTTTCTGTATGCTATAGTTTCATGATGTTTCATGCATGCACCCGTACTACACTATGTCTATATCCCCATGATGATGAATATAAGCTTATATATACAAAACAATATGTACATAAACATATGTTAATATTGGCCTGCTTCGGCGAGAATTAACATGTACGTTACATACGCAATTATATTTGTTTGCAGTTGGGGAATGGCTTTCTTTGGCGGCCGGTGTATGTCGGTGCCGTTGCAGGAGCTTTGTGTCCCAAGAGTAGGCTCCAAATTTCAGACAGCTGCACGGGCCGAATGAATCCACTCAACCTGGACTAGAGTAGGTAACCTGGGCAACCAATATGCTTCAGCAAGGCAATCAAATCTGATGTTATCCTGAAATCGTAACTCATGTGAAAAATGGATCGATATTGGCCCCAAACTGACCATGGGACGCTTTTTTGGTGAACCTCACATCTGTGGTTTCCCATGGTCGCCCCATGTTTCCCGGATTTGATCAACTCCGACGGCGCCTGCCTGAGGCTTGGCGGGGAAAAGCGGCAGGCCCTGCGGCCATTCAAAGGCCACCTGAAGAGTCCAAGTCCAAGCTCCCCATTTCCGTGGCGTCAACAATGGGGGGGGAAACAAGGCATCAACAATTAGGGGGGTGGGGACCAACAAGGTGGCGTTCCTCCTGGGCGTCTCATGTAAGCAAAACAAAATCGGCACAGGGTAGCCTCTAAGAAACGAAGAAGCCGGAAAAAACAGGCCGGCAATCAGCTTACAATCGGTGGTATGGGGGTGGTTAAGGACGGGGTTTCCAATTTACCCGAGAGGAAAAAGGGCACCCTCAAAAACCACACATACACACGCACACCCCGGAAAAAATAAAAGAAGACGAACAACCTTCCTGCAAGAAAAGATCACATGTTCCGCAACTCTAGAGCGTAAAGCACATTGCCTATGTCGCCCTCTTGGCTTGAGGGATCTGGAGAAGAAACAAAATTGGGCCCCAGCCCTCCAGGAGAGGTGCGTGGAACATTTTTGAAGGGATCCGGATGAACATTGCAACTGTACATGGTGGTAAACCCCTTTATTTTGGTGTTGAAAAAGCAACATGTTTCAAATGGGCAAAATGGATATATTTTAAGGAGCCCTGTTATTGAAGAGTTCTTTGAAGGGATTGCGGACCTCTCTGGTGGGCAGGGGGCTCTCATGTCTTTCCTTGCTTGACATAGAAACTTCGAAAGACTTCAAGATATCTTGTCAGTCATATTTGCAGAACGACGAATTCCAAAAGTTTGACAGCCCTACACAATACACTATGCGAGGAGCCCTGAGAACTGTTCAATGTGATAGCTCCAGATAGCTCCACCACTGGAAGGTGAACCCAGGTGGAAGATCCCACACTGTTGATTCCTCAAATGTCGCAAGGGAACGAACTGATGCCCAGGGGTATGAACAACAGCTAGCCTTTCGGGGTTCTTTAAACAAAGCCTAGACAATTGATTTGGAGCGACCAGTCCCAAGGCTCAGCTAGACGGCCTGGGAAAGACGGCTTCTTGGGACCTTGATTCAGCATGGACCACAATTGGACACCAAAAAGCGGTTGATTGCCATGCAAGTCTGCTTGGTATCACGAAAAAGTCAACCGAAAAGTGTCCCAATCTATTAGCAAAGACTCATCTACCAGTTCCACAATGCGTCCGAAACCTAAAATAAAGATCAGATCCGCAAGTGTTCCGCGGATCCTTTCATGGCTCATCTTTTTGTTCAAGGGTACCCCTCTCTCACTGGTTGTTAAAAACAAACAGCTTCGAAGCCATGTTTGGAGAAGTGTTCTTCAAGAAACACCTACTAGGTCCTCCAGTAGAGAGAGAGAGGCTAGAATAAGGGTACCCACTTTTTCCTGCAGTCTCTTTTAGTAGGGGAACCGAATCTCCCCCAAAAAAGGATCGGTAAAAAAGGGCACTACTGGGGGACCGAGCCTAGACATCCTTTTTAATGAAACCGGCGGCCCCTTCTCGGAGCTTCCAAAGAAACCCGGCGAGCGAGCCTCTGCGAAAGGCGCCATCAGGTCGCATGCTCGCGGGGCGGGGACTTCGGAGGCATCCGCTTTGGCAAGAGCTTGGAGCACGTTGCTTACATTCCGAACCCGGGATTGGAGGGAAACCGTGTCGTGGGTTACAGCCATTCTTACAAAAAGGTTTGGTGGGCTGAGAGTTGCGAATCTGTGGGGAATTGTTGGTTACAGCCTTTCCGAACCCGGGTTTTGTGGATGTTGCGTCGTGCCAGGGGGTGTCTTGATTTGCCATCCGATGTGATTTGTAGGCCGCCCCGGAGGTGCTAGCCCCAATTCAGGTTGGTGGTATGGATGCCATCTACAAGCAACAACTACTAGGTCCTCCAGTAGAGAGGTTAGAATAAGGGGAAGCATTTTTTTGCAGTCTATTTTAGTAGGGAAACCCTCCCCCAAAAAAGGGTAAAAGGGCACTACTGGGGGACCTAGACTATCCTGAACACGTTGGAAAGCAACGCACTGCCATGGGATCTGATATTGGATGTGCTTCGTTCACTTGCTTTGTATTGAGGGCACCTGTATGTTCAGAATGCAGATGGGCCTTTGCTTCTTCATAGATGAAAGGTGTGCCCTCTGTTTCCCTTATTTGCAAACCAGCTGTTTGGAAGGCTCGCTTTTGGACATGTGTCCGTTCTTGACCCCATCAGCTGCAGGGAAGCCAGTCTATGAAAGAACTGCTCCAATAGGAGGTGTTTATCATTCCAGACTGCTTCTCATCCAAAAAAGGTCCCTCTCTATATTTGCTTGCAGGTTCTATATTGGTGTTCAAGGGTATATAATACGACTTGCCCATTGTCGCCTTCCTGACGGCAACCTCACATCTGATTGGTACATGTTTCTGCAGGTCATTGAACCCCCCCTCTGATGCATAAAAAACTACAGTCCTTTTCATATTTTTGAATGCACCACTCTGACTTACTCAAAAGCTCACCGTAGCTCTAATAGAAAAGGTTGTTCTTCGCCTTTCGGCTGCCCCATGAAGCCTAATGACCCAACCCCCTGATCAGGAAGTGGAAAGCTCGGCCGCCCGGTGCATTGTTGTCCACGGGGTGAAAGGGAGCCAACCCTGTTTTGGTGGCCCATTGCGGAGTGAACCAACTAGACAGGCGCAAAACAGGGTGCCTTTGTGCAATTGGACTGGTGGCTGATATGTGAATGAAGCATCCCACTCTATTGCCATCCGCCTGAATGAATGGAGTTCACTCACGGACCTCAAAACTTGACTCGGGACACTCACAGCCACAACAGGCATATTGCTCTTGCTCTCTCCATTTCTCGGAATGGGGTGGCTTGAAACCAAGCCAACAGCCGAACAAAAGTTCGGAAAACGCCCCCCCATCCTCATCTCAGTACCCAGCCAGCGGAAATCGTGGAGCAGGGCACTTCGAACTCAGCTGCCCTGTGGAAATGCAACTCGCTAACTCTCGGAGAGGTCCCAAAGTCGACCAAACAAAACCGGGAAAAACAACTTTTTGGGATCTGTTTGGGTGAATCAATATGACTCCCCAAGAGAACGCCCCAAAAGCAAGCTTCATGGGCGTGTCGCCAACGCTCGCCACCCAAATCGCTTTGTGAGGTCGCTGAACTTTGCCCAGAATCAATTGGTTGCTTGAACAAGCACAAAGTACGACTTACGATGCACAAAGCTGTAAATAAAACCTCTATTCTGCCGCATGACTCTCCAACCCAAGTTCTCACCTTGCCGCATGAAAAGCTGTATATATATTCACCTGCAGCATGAGCTACTGGTGAGATGATTCATGAATGCCCACTTTCCCCAAGCCGCGGAGAAAAAGAAGAAACAAAACGCAACCTGCGCAAGCCGCGAACGGCTGCGCTTTTCTCCGTCACCACTTGCAACCTTTGGTTGCATAACTCACTGGCCGCCAGGTAAAACTATGACAGCACGCCAAGCCACTCGACAACTCAAAGTCGCAGCACCTGCATGCCGCAGACCTCCCGGTTATTCCAAAGAAAAAGGTGCAGCTGGTTCATTTGTATTTGCTTTTGATGGGGGGTCCTAAAGAACACCCGAAAGGCAAACCCAATTTTGGTTGTCCATGTCAATTTAACCCGGATTCAGGGTTCACTATATTCACCCTGAGGCCCTTTGGACATGAGATGCACCTTATACTGGCCCACTGGCCAAAAACGCAATGTCTAAAATTCTACAAACAGCCAAAAGGGAAACTCTGGAGAAGCCCATGGAGGTCTGAAACAAAGCCGGCCCAGCCGCCAACCCGGCCATTCCTGCGCCTTCGGCGCATTCGGCAACGTCCACGCTCCGCGCGGAACGTGCGGCTCCGCACGGTCTAAACGACAGGATGACCCAAAAGGTGTGGATCTGTCACTGGATGAGCACTCTTTTCAGTTAACTCCACAGGGGAACAGGGCTTATGCGCCGGGCAAGAAGTCAACTTCAATCTCAACTTGCATGCGGTGCTATTTGTTTCGAGCGGCAAGCCGCCAGCTTCCATGCTCTATGATCAGCTGCTTTGGTCAACTGGGTCTGCCATTTGCCATCCTGCACTGGATTCTGCCCGCACAACAGATATTCATCAAGGCAATCGGCGTCTTTTGCTTGGATTGTGTTTCGCTCTTCGGGCGGAAGGGTGTCTTGGAATGTTTCCCCGAGGCTCCATGACCTCAGATTCGGCGTCGGCAGTGTCCCCTAGTCCAAAAATAAGATGCTTTAGTCAACAGATTGCAAACGCTACCTTCTGGTTTGGTCATGGCTTCACGTCAGCCCTCAAAAAACGGCAGGTATCCGAAGGCACGTCTGAAGCACGGTAAACAAAGTTGATTTCCCTGATTGACATGGCACAATGACTGGACCCCCCTGGCTTTCTGGTAGAAATGTCGTGAGCCCCCCTAAGTCCTGAACCCCAAATGGACCAAGATCTACTGGATGGTCTGACCACACCTCCAAGGATGAAACCCATTTACGCATAAAGCAAGATATACGTATATATATATATATACATATTACATGTATGCTGCCCCCCCCAAACAAAAAGCTACCAAACTTGCGTCTTTCCGTGTGTTGAGATCTGATAACACAATCTTGAATCTTGCCAAACACCCACTTGAGGAATCAATATTTCCCTAGACATCTCTTTTCCAGCGCGCTTGGTTCACACATGTTGCGCAACATTTTGCAACGATGGCCACCATTCCCACAGAACCACCGGACCAACAAAAACAAACGACAATCCTACCCACCAGTGCTGGAATGGTTTGTTGTGGCTTTCTGTTTTGGTCCATTGCAATAATCCGCAAAATGTTGCGCATTTGGGAAATGCTGTGCAACATGTCCTCTGGTCTTACAAAACAAAACGAACACACAAAAACAAAACAACAATCCTACCCCCAGCATGGCTGGAACGTTGCGGGAATGTGCTGGTTTTGAGCTTGTGTATCTGTGTGGTTTTGGTTCATCACAATAGCGTTTCAAACGTTGCGCAACATGTGGGGAATGTTTCGCAACATGTCCACAGGACCAAACCAAAAAAGAAAAAAACAATCCTACCCCCACCATGGCTCCAAAGTGTTTGGTGTTTGTTCCATTGCAATAATCTGCAAAGTGATGCCCAACACGTTGAACATGTTGCGCACCATGTCACTGGACCAAAACAAAAACGCTACAACAAAGCAACCAATCCTATTCCAGCCATGCCCAGAATGTGTCTGTGTGTGTGCGCGTGTGCGCGTGTGCGTGTGTGCGTGTGTGAATCCGACTTCTTCGGGCTGTTTGTGGGGAGTGGTATTGCTGGGTGTGTTGGTATCTGGGGGCAACGTGCAGATAGTTATATATGTGAGAAAAGGTAGGATATGTATATGTATATAAATATATATATATATACACATATATGTATAAATATACATGATACACATTTGCATGCTTGGCAGGAAGGGGATCGGTGTACGAGTAATGCGTGGAGCCTCGGGGTTTGCCTGCCGCAGTTTTTGCAGCGCCAGCAACTTTGGCGAGGTCAAGTCGAAGAGATACTGTGTAGGCTTACTTTGTCTTACCTTGCAACCCGAAACAAAAGGACATGCCCGTGTTCATTCAATTCCATCAAACGAGCACCAAAATGATATCAGTTGACAAAACAGGTCAACAGTTGTGCACTGGGCACTCTGGCGCTAGCTGGGCGGTTCCGAACACCACAACCTACGCAGAAAGGGGCTTGCGCTTTCAAGTATGTCAGTTCATCTCGTGAGATATCAAACATCAATCTGAAGAACGGGGCCAAGAAAGGAACCAATGCAGCTCGCAAACCTCTGGTGTCACCTAACGATGCGGTTTGCCTATGTGAGAGTCTCCATGTGGGTTCCCCCGAACGGGCCCTGGGTTCCTTCCTGAAGTCACTCGAAACTGGCAATCAATGTCGGAAACCACCGACCCAAAGGCGACATAATAGGTCGCAAACAATCCACCCTTTAAAGATAAATTTAGGTGATGCGGGAAACCACCGACCCAAAGGCGACATTTCGGGAGCTCTGGCATATGCAGCCAGAAAACTTCGCCTTGATCCCTCGCCAGAAGTTTCTTCGCGGGCTATGGCCTTGGGTCATGGCCATCCCGGCCGGAAAGCCTGGAAGGAGTATTCAATGGTTGGCACAAGTGGATAGACGAAATCCCTTACGAGGAAATGAAACCATGGTTGAAACCATTGGTTGACAGGGAAAGTATCATTACAGGGTTGCTTCGCTGGTGAAGGACTTCGTCCATCCACTGTCGATGGCACGGTGCTCTGGACACGGCCAATTTTTCCATGCAAAGTTCATCACAGGAATGCACCACTGGTCACTTCCCGCCTCCATCTGCAGGAATTATCAAAGCCGTCGGATATCTGGGTTCTTTATGAAATACGCAGGACATACCTAAAAGCGTTCTCCTTCAAGGAAGTACGTCCGAATGAAGTTACCCAACATTTCAGACACGAGTTCTGACTTCTGGGGGCATTGACATGGCAAGGAGAAGAGCTTTGGACGGGAGTCGTGTCCGCAGGGTGTTGCCCGTTAGCTAGTATTCAGAGTCGTATAGCAAGCAGCTGGGGAAACCCTGCAATGTAGCATGATGTGTGGTTGGTTTACTTGGGTTGGTTTCTTCCTGCAAAAGGTGGTAGCGTTCCCTCTTCGTTTCCAATGGTCCTTGATGTCTGAAAGCTTCATCCACAGAAAACCGATGCCTGCGTAAGGGTGTGGGTCAAAATTAAACCACCAGAAAACCGCAGCTGTAGTCCTTGGTTCCAGGGTTCTATTTGGGGTACCCATTTCTGACACCCACAGCCGCAAGCTCGCGAAGGCTCACGGCCGCTGGCCGCTGGCCGGCCGCGCCGCGGAGCCGTCTACTTGGGCTTCAGACAATGGGCGCGCTCGATGTCGTGCTTGATGAGCACCTGCCACTCGCGTCGCATATCGCGAGCGCTTGAATGGCCATGGGCCCGGTTCAAAAGCCAAATCGGCTTTGGTTTTTCGGAGAACATCCGATTCCATCCAACCACTGAAATAGGAAGCCTAAAATGGGTGCTGAATTTACCTATCGCAAAATGGGATCCCATTGGTTTTGACCCACAGCCATATGTAAAATAGAGAGCGCTTGCGTTCAAATCCTGAATGCTTGGGGATTCGCCATTCTCATGATTTGAACATGTTCCAACTTGACAGGACTCAGGTGGTCACAATCATACTTACAAGGTCCATGACCACCCTAGAACAAGAGGTCTGTAGATGGAACAAAGTTGGCCCTCAGCCCTGCTGAGATGTCTTCCCACCTTAGGCGAACTCGAGCAGAGCTGAAACCATCCCAATTGTTTGCCATCTAAAGAAATGACGTGTTTGGATGCTGGCCCATGTTTACTAGGTCCTCCAGTAGAGAGGCTAGAATAAAGGGGCCCTTTTTTTTCTGCCTATTTCAGTAGGGAACCCTCCCCAAAAAAAGAAACGGTAAAAGGGCACTACTGGGGACCTAGTTTCGTAAACCTTCACATGAAAAGGATCTCCAAGAGATGGCGACACAAGTCGCAAGGGCAAGCTCCAGCTGCCATGCTCCGAGTGGATTGAACATCGAGAAACTGAACTTGCCTAAACTGTGTGCCAGGACGCACGTGCACGTGGTGCACAAGTGCGAGTGGCAAAATGACTTGTCTATGTGGGAATCAACAAGACATATACTTATGATTTCTTATACAATCTGTCTTCAAACAATAACAGCCTCACAAACACATGAGTTCATTGCTGCGGCTTCCGGTCGGAATCCAACATTGGTAAGCATATGTCTTCCGCTTCGGATGAACGAGTCAGGAACAGGGGCTCGAGCACTAAATCAAGCATGTGAGTCCTTCCCAACTGACCATGACTCGAGTCAGAGCCTCTCAATTAAATTAATGACGGTTTGCTTCCGGGTCATAGGCTCAAATGTATCATGTATCTCCAAAACATCCATTTGTTTAAGCCTTGCTGGACAAATAAACATATGTCCAGTAGTGATAGTTTCCCTTTAACACCAACAAGGGAAGCTAACAACATATTCTTAACAGGGATCCTTACATTATACACCTGAACATTGCCTTGTAAATGGTGGTTTCCCTTTATTTTGGTGGAAAAAGCAAATGGGCAAAATGTATCTACAAAAACGAGCCCTGCTTAATCCAAGGGAAGAAACAGAATTCACGGTGGCCCACTTGGCGCTCGTCAGTCCGAGTTGCTGCCATGGCGTCACCATCTCGGCCCAGATCGCAGTGGTTCTCCAAGCACTGGCGAGCGGTCGCCAAGGGTTGCCCTTTGGCCACTTTCCTTGAGGTTTCGCGGAACAGGCAGACCAGGATACCCAGGAATTTGGGAATTTAGATGTCTTGGTATGCTTCAAATCGGGATCCTCGCAAATGGGTGATCACTTTTCGGTTGCTCATTGCAACCACTAAGAAAGGGGGAATATGTATCCTCAAGAAAGGCGCGGTCATTGGAAAGGCTTTCCAAAGGGGGGAGCAATTACTGGCTGCTGCAAACACAAACGCAAGGCCGTGAACAACGGCTCAGCTCTCTTCTCCTGTGTGTTAAAGGGTCTGAAAAAACATAGCCGTCTTCACGTGATTTGCTTCCAGGGAAATGTCAATCATCTTGGCACCCCCTAAAACGGAATTCACCAGAAGGTCCCTTTTAGAGGAACGTGGGTGTGTCGGTGTGTCTCTGAATATTGCTGTTTTTTTTCTTTGCGAAATCTACCCTCTGGTGACATAAGCAAACGAAGCAGCATTGACAACACATCGGTTGAGGCAAACACAGCGACTCCAAGCTAAGTCAACAGGAATTGCCCGCTTCGGCCGCCCCTGCTCGCTTCTGCGACAAGGGAGTGTGATTTGTGACGATGCCCTTTTTGCGGAAGGGACCCAAGCGGAAACTCTCTCTCTCTCTATACATATATATATATATATGTATATTCATTACATACTGAAATAGTTGCCAATAGCCTCCAAGATTGCGTATGCGAGTACAATACGTGCTCATGGCAGCTGCTTGTGGCCAAGGCATATGGATCAGCTTTTTCAGCGACCCAAAGCAAGTGAAATTGCTGCACTGACCACTGGCTGAAAAAGGGCTGCTCCTGGGTCCAACTGACTGCAGAAAGCATGTGCAAAGCACAACATGTTTTTTTGTTCCTTTATTTTTTGTCGGGGACCCCCGAAAAAAATGGGTTTTCCTTTTGGTTTTCCTTTAAATCCACAAAACCTGGGTTCTCTTACACACACAAAAACAAAAACACGCCCTCCTGTCGGCTGATTCCCGGCAAGTGCATCCGCCCTCCGCGGCCTTCAGGGCGCGGCTGTAATAGGACAAGGCCACGTCGAAGCGGTCGGACACGAAGTCGCAATGCCCTCAAAGCGAAGAAAAACCGCCCGCGCTCCAGTAGAGAGGCTAGAATAAGTTGGTACCCGATCTTTTTCCCTAGTCGATTTCAGTAGGGGAACCCTGCCCAAAAAAAGAAACGGTAAAAGGGCACCACTGGGGGACCTAGTGTTTTTCCGACATGCGAAGAAAAGAAAGGGGGAAAATGGTTAAGCTACTGCCCGCACACCCAAGAACTGCCTGATGAACAGTCCGGGGGGGATCTGGGACATGGAAAAAGACAGTTGTTTGGGGGGTGATGGCTAAAGGAGCCTTGGGAAGCCGAGAGGAAAATCGGAAAATTCGCCGGCGATCAACCTGCGAGGGCGAGCGCGGTCCGCGACACGCCCAAAAGACAAGTTCGGCCTCTGAAGTGGTAGGCCGTGGCGAAGACTGAGGAGATCACCTCTTTGTCCTCAAAAGAACAAACAACGAAGTTGCCTTACGGATACCGCGGCTCTCAGGATGGCAGAGGTAGCAGCAGTCAGGTAAAAAAGGACCTTCTGCTTACGCTCCATTGTCCGGATTATTGGAAAAGCAACATGCCAACGCAAAGCGATCTAAACGCGGGGAAAATTGAAAGGGGAAGAACAAGGCAAAAATGAGATTTGAATGGGGTTAAATGGAAAACACCGTCAACCAAGAAGATTCGATCGGGAAGCCAACAGGAAACCACCGTCAAAAACTACGATAATAGACCAATGGAAAGCAAGAAAAATGGGAGGCCATTACATCACAGAATCCTCTATGGTGATCTGGGTCGGTCTAATTGCCAATATTGGCCGATTGAATAGTGAGCAACCTTCCTCGTGGCAAGCAAATGTGTCTTAAAATACGAGAACCCCCCGCGAAATAGTGGTTTCGGTTTCCCTTAAACCAACCTCCAAAAACGGTTCAACGCAAAGACAGACCCACAATATAGCTAACCACGAGTTTCTGGTTTCTTGGCGGGTGTAGAGGCCCAGGTATACTCCCCGAGGTCAAAGATTAAGCACAACCCCTAGATCAACACCCCAAGCAAAAAAACAAAAGCTATGAGCTGTGCTTTAGGGTGCTGAAGCCTAACTGCACACCCCTTGACCACACACCGAACGTTGAAAACCTGAGCTGGAGGTTGGCGACCACTGCACCCTTTTTGCAAGAGGAACAGCGGGGGTCGAATGTTGAAACCAAGCCAACTCGCCAAGCAATACAACAGGGAGGTGGTCACCACTTTGCGTGAAGTCCATGTGGCCTTCGAGGCTTTGCCGTAAAATGGCCCGACCTTCGCAGAGCCCTCAAGCAAACCAGGACACACCCGGAACTACGTCCCACTGGAGGGTTCAACCTCGGGCTTCAAGCTGCAAATCTGAAGCAGGAGTACGTCGCCACGATCCAAATTCACAGCGGGGCGGGCCACCTGATGCAATGGGGGCATTGGGCCTGTCAAATACACCATGCGGTCAGCATGGTGACGGGAAATATCGACATCGACCATATCGAACTGGGATACCCATCGCGACGAGGAAGTTGACCTCACAGGCTTTTGACAAAAGCTGCAACCAAAAGCTTCCATTTACTTAAGCCCCCCAAAAACATATTGTCTTGCCCAGTAATGGATTCCCCTTAAGCCAAGAAAAGGCAAACTAACAAGACGTTCATTTGGCCATGGGTCAAAATCCTGTACCCCCAGTGAACATCCGATTCAATCCCCACTAAAATAGGTTCTAAAATGGGCGGTGAATTCACCGACAACCCCCAAAATGGGATCCCATTGGTTTTGACCACCACGGCCATTTCAGATGGAAAAACTCCGACAAGTTCTCTGCAACCTCTTCGGTCCTCCAGGCTCTGAGAGATCTCCCAGAGGTGTCCCTCCATCTCCTGCCGGACGCCACCCGATTCGTTTTTTTCAAATCAAAGTCACCCCCTTGGTGGATGAAAAAGAGAAATCACCACCAAATGTCTGACTTTGATCACCCGAAACGGTCAAATCATGGCCCCAGTTCATGCAAAGTCAGATGAATCTGCCTGATTCAAGCTGCACTCACGATGATTCACCACCTTTTCTCGCGTAACCCAAAGGATCGTTGTGAGTGAGCTTCGTTGCAGCCACACTCGTTCCAGAAAATCAAACCATGCGGGAGACTGTTGCGGCTGCTTCTTGGGTGCTGGCCAAAGTTCTGGAGGCTCCATCTAAGATACACTTTCCTACATCTGAACATGTTTGCCGCCTCATTCCGCCACATTGTGTGGGCTAACATTAAAACCCGGCATAGAGCCCAACAACAAAAAAAAACAAAACACGAATCTGCACAAGCAATCTCAGAACCTTAGGAAGTCAGCGGAGTTGCTTCTCTTGATCCTACCGCGCGGAAACTTCGGGTCACATCTGAAAGGTCAATCCGAATGTTTCTTTGAGCGACCAGTCTAAGCTCAATAAAGGGTCAACCTTTCAGCTGTGGTTGAGACTTAAGCGTGAGACCACCTTTCGTGAAGGCGGCTTGCTGCAAGGTTGAAAAGTACCAAATTTGACCCGTGCCCAGTTCCAATTGAGAACCAGGAAAAACAAATGCCTGAAGCAAGTGACAATTGTCTCCAAGGCAATGCGTGAAGGACAACCAGACTTAGATCCTCTCAAGGGAAGTGCGTGGCCAATAGTGGGGAAATGAGGTGCATCGGAACCCACCGGAAGGCCCCGTTTAACGCTTGCACCCTGGTCAGGTTCCATGTGGGGCATCTCCTCGTCCAAAACACTTCCCTGCCCTCACACTGACACGCATGACGTGAAAAGCGTTGAGAGTGAAGGACATGTGTCCTTTTGAGCACGTGCTCTGTGCACCAACCCGGGACCCATGTTTGTTCGGCGCAAGGTAAGTGTTGTCTTGATACACAATAGTTATGCATCAACTTGAAATAAGACATTCCCAAGTCCACTTCATGAGGCAGGTCACAAGCCCCAATGAAAGCTCGGTTGCTGTAACGACCGCTCTGCAAAAAGACAAACGCTTTGTGGGTTTAATTCGGAAAACCCAACTTGATTGTAACCAACAAGTTAAAACAGTGTAAAGATCTGTTCCCCAATAGCAAGAAAGTAGTAGGGGGGTGTTCCCTCCAAAAGTGATCTGAAGCCCCACTACAAGGGGACACCCCCCTAGTAATCAACCAGGGGTTTATTCATCTGGGGTCAACATTAACTGTAAAGGGTTGTGTAAGCCAGCTGTTGGATGGCGATGCATTGACCTCCCCCAATGACCAAGTACAAGGCGCCTCAATGGCTGCGTCCACGCGGTCTACGGCAAGATCCACTCGCTGCTCCTGTTGCACCCAGGGATGCAGGGTGTCCTTTTTCTCGGGGAGCCGCCAAATTATGGTGTTTTTCCTTTTGCGGATTATGTCCACCAACCACTCACAAGGGTTTCTGCTAAAATCATTTGCCATATGTTATGCTGGTAATTTATTGTTTCAGCAGAAGGGTTGCACACACATTTTACAGATTGATTTGCTTCCACTTGTTCAGCCATATTTGCGTTGACAAACATCCCTGGAATAACTGGTGAAGTTACCCTGCAATGAAGCGCCGCTTAGCTCCTGAATTTCTGGCTGATTTCATTAAAGGCCGGGTACACTCAAATTCAACCTTTGGTGAAACGGATCGGAGAACCACTCTGCAAAAGCAATTTTGAGACCCCCTCAATTTGTGTTTTCAGAAATTTCTGGACCAAAAGTGCGGCGTAACTGATGCATTTTGGTCCCACAGAAGGCTCCAAGCCGGCTCAATGCTGAAGGGGTTTGAGCCACGAGTTGAGAGCCCATGTGAGATCCAAAAGTACCCCCGAGAAAGAACAAAACACAAGCAAAACTATGACTAAAGGGTGGACTGGTTGGAACTGGCACAGGTCATTCCCATTGTGGAGTTGAGGTGGTTCTCAATGTGATATGCCAAGGGAACCGATCCGCCCAAGTGAAGAATTAGTTGTCGCGAACGCGGGTGCTATAATTTTCCGTGGACAAAGGCCACATCTCAGGGTGTGTGTTGACACTCTCGTTTGAAACCCTTGTGGCCCTTGTTGACAACCAGCACGCGGGTCCTTTCTTTCTGGATGGTGGCCTATCATGATTCGCTTTTGGAAAATCATGACATCTCAGCTTCCCTCTGATTGGTGAGTTTGGATTGGTGTTTAGCCTTTTTCCCCTGCTGAAGGCTATGGGGTCTCTGCCCAAATGGGTGTGGGTCAAACATAGTTCGCCGCAATGGCCCCCGGGTAAATGGCAAGCACTAACATCTGTGGTCTGGTGCCCCCTGTTGAATTTTCACCCATACCCCCCCCCCCAACCCCAAAAAATGAACACCTCCCTGCGAAATGTTGTTCTTGCACCTCTGCGGTCCAATTTTCAGTGTTACGCCAGTCCGCTGGACTGGTCCAATTCAGGAACCGTTTAATTTTGAGCCCCAATAAATGGGTGTGGATCAAAATCAAACCACCAGGGGACCATAGGTTTTAGTCCTTGGTTCCATTTTCCAGGGTTCCATTTTGGGTACCCAGTTTTGACCCCCGCCATATCTCCGAAACGGTCCGGAGCAGCTCCAACGGTTTCGGAAGGGATCTAGCTGAGAATTACCGATCCGTCGGCTTCTGAATTTCCTCCAGGTCGGGATGTTCAGGGAACCCGTTGGTTTGGATTTGTGGTTTGGCTTAGATTTGGAGTTGAAGCCCTGGAAGCTTTGCAGAAGCTAGACCAGTCCTCGAGCTCCGCGTGCGCCAGGACGTAGTAACACGCCTCAGCTCAAACCGGTGGGCTGGGAACGCAGAACGAAGCAGCTGTGGGTCTGACCCAGGTGTCCTTTTGGTCAAATAGGCCCTTGTAAAGGGGGCATAAAACCAATCTCATCCACACCAATCTAACCAAAGCCAATCCAATGGCCCAGTGCCATCTATTTCTACCCGGACACACACAAAAAGGATAACTATGCTCTCACCCTTTCAACACCGCAGGTTGACGAAAGAAACTCAAATGCATGGATCGGATCGGGAAACAGAGGAGTGCAAAGACTCTCTGCCACTTTCCCTTGAAGGCTGCACGGCAAAACTTCGAAGACCTTTTAGGAAGCTCAGACACCCAACATCGGCGGCATTGCCGCCATATCTGCCTTTCCTGCTTTTGCGAGCCATGCTTTTTGGGGGGGCTATACTGCGCATCGCGGGTTTTTACCTGAGGTTGTCTCAGGGCTCCACCTTGGAAAGCCTGGGGTCGCACCTGAGGATTTTGTTTCTTCCCGTCGGCCCCTCTAAACATCAGGCAGGGAGCCAGGCAAACTCTGCCGAGAGTCCAAGCTCCATGTTGACAGTTTCAGCAAGGATTCGTCTTGTCAGAATGGGGTCTCCGTGTCACCCTTTGGAACAACATACACGTGCCATCTCCATGTGTACATCTCGGACTTCGCCAAAAGGGAGAATAGAGATACACATGCATTCCAGATCGAGCTTCTCCCCGAATTGGTTTCTCATCTTGATGTGTGGGGCCAAGGCTACGAATCGGTCAAGCTCTGCGCAGGGAAGGACAAATCATTCAAGCAAACTCATCCTTGCCGCAAGCAATTCCCAGGATGCTCACCGCTGTCCATTTGGCTGCCCGCGTCACCCCATGTTGCGGGTGCTGCATTCCTTTCAGCTCCCAGACTCCTGCTTCCGCCGCCCGCAAGCGAAGTTGAAGGCATTTTGCCACCCTATCAGCCGACTACGGACCGGACCCTGCGGAGGCTACGGCAATGTCAGTGGCCGAGGGGTGTCAGGGGCGTTGGCCAAAAGCACTGCGCGCAGCTGTTTCCCGATATCACAGCTGCATCAGCATCACTTGTCCCCCGAAACTGATCTTCGTCTGAGTATGTTTGGGATGGCTGTTTGTGAATCCCCATGGGCAGCTTGAGTTGACTCTGGATGTGGCTACATGGCCATGGGTCAAAAGCCCGTACCCCCAGTGAACATCCCAATCCCCACTAAAATAGACTAAAATGGGTGGTGCACCTACCCCAAAATGGTACCATTGGCTTTGACCCACAGCCACATGAAGAAGGACGATCCGTTCAACACCTGGGGCCAGAACACCAAGGACTGCACGACAGCTGCTGTCGGCCTGCGCGCTTTGCGCGCCAGAAACGGCTCTCGGACATGTGGCTTGCTATCCTTTGCCTAACACGTCGCACTCTATCTGCAAAAGAGGGGGTGCCCAAAACTGGGGGCGGGCCCCAAAGGAAACCCGAAAGGAAACCAACCACCGTTAGGGGAAACAACTCCTGAAGATGGTTGAACGTTACTCTTCGTCCGGGCAAATCGTTGTACAGTACCTAATCCACAACTGAAACAATAATGCCCAACCAAGAATCCCCGGACAACACCCGTTTGAGGTTGTTACACCTTTTCCAGAAATCGCTGCTGGAGGAAGCGTCACCAGGGCATATGTCTGCACAAACCCGACTTGTTTGAACAGAAGCCCAAAAAGCAAACAACCAAAATACATGCCAGGGGTGATGGGAGGGCGAATTATCCCTTACCTAAAGGGGGAGTTGGGTGGGGAGGGGTCCCCAATTCCATTTATCTTTGCGAGAAAGGGACACTGGAACCGCCACAAATGGAGATCTCCAGTGTCGACATCCCCCGAATTCCATTTTTCGGTGATTTGGATCGAATTAATTAAACCACAGGCAGGCGCCCCGGAACTGTTGATTTCCTACTTACAGAGCCCTCACAACCCGTGGCATTGTTGCAAAACACTGGCTTGGACAGAGCCCCCCCTCAAGACAAGTAAACAACAAACAAAAAAAAAACAAACGACAAAACACAACCATAAAACAAACTTCCGTCCCTTAAGTCGAATCGCTCGTACCCCCTGTCTCTGTCACGAGTTCGTCGCCTCCTCTGCACCTAGCTTCAGAGCTTCCTCCAGGATCTGCCGGGCCTCCTGGAACCTCCTGGATCCATGGCCCAAACCCAGCGCGTGGGATCCACTCGTTTAAAACTCGGGGGCCTCAGCTACTGTCTTTTTTTGGAACATGGTGGACCCCGGCCCAAAACCAAGGGCAATCTGAAATCCACTCAAAACTCCGCTTGTGACATGTTCGTCACAGGCATGCACCGTTCGAAAGCTGAGGACCCCTTTGCACTCAGCCAGATAGTTTCTGCCTCCACCGTCCGACACCAAATTATTGTCAACCCAACCTCTTGCTGAACCATTTGATTTCGAGGGCTATCCCCCTTCTGCTTGCTCCCCAAAGTGGTTCATTTGCTTCTGGGCCCCCACCATGCGAGGGGGCCAACAATCTTGGAAGGATGCGTCCCTTTGAGTCAGCCAAGAGACGAAGAACTGGCCCACTCTAGGGTTTCTCACAAGGGGTGCTGTAGGGGTGACGGGAAAGGGGCACACCCAAGGCATCACTACGTGAGCAGAAGTTGTGTGTGTGCTTTGTGTTGCACCCCCGCCCTCCCCCAGAGGACAACTCACGTACTGTGGCTGGCAGTTTAGCGAAGGTCTGTCACCAACCTGTTAAAAGAGTGCTCTATCCATTGCTGTCAATGGGGAAGCAGGGGCCCCGTTTAACTCTGGTTTTTTCATTGGGAACCCTTTGGCGGACTTCGTTCACAAGGGAATTTGTGTCCGGCGACCATTTGGAAGGGTATTCCTTCCAAATGCATCGCCGTGTCGTGGACCTTTGCCCTCAAGTGGAGATCCTTCTGGTTGATGCTACACCGTCAAGGCTTGTTCAAATGAGCAAAGGAACCGCTCAAAGGAACGCAAAGGGAAACTGCCGTTCTTTGGATAAGTCTCCTTTTTGCGGAGTGCAGCTGCCTAAAATCGGAATCAATAATCAGCTACCTTCCAATTGGTGGTTTCGATTGGTGGCTTGGAGGGGTTTCCATTTACCCTCTACAAGAACCAGGGGTTCAAATCCAAATCCAAACCGCCAAGCCAAACCACCAAGCCAAACCACCAAACCAAACCACCAAGCCAAACCACCAAAACGGGGTTTCCTGAAACAAGATCTTTGGTTTCGAGCAAAAGACAACACCGATGAAATGTGCCGACCCAGTGAAAAAGCTACTCCCTCGCTGTAGTGCATGAGGTTTGGATTGGCACCATCCCCTCTGCTGCACTCCACTCCACTGCCCCCCGGCCCTCTCCTGAGGCGCAAGTAGGCATTTCCCAGGGTGGCTCGGCAAAGCAGAGGCCAAAAGGACAGATCTGGCAGCGAGTTTTTGTTTGATCTGGCTGCTTTAAATGAAGGCACGCTGGATTCTGGATTCCCCGAATAGTGCAAGGAAACTGCTCTCACCCAACCACACAACCTGATAAATTGCAGTCAAGTTACATTTTCCTTTGACAAGTTGCCGGGCTTCCCTCGTTACCACTGAAGGCCATTCCCTGCCGAGCCGGGAAAATTCGGGCAACGAAAAAAAGCCTTGGGAGGTGCCCCCGGACCCTCACCCCGGAGCCGCAGATATCCGGAGCTTTCTGAGGCTTTCAGCTGGGGAGAGCAAAAAACTGATAAATCGGCGAGCTTGCAGATTTCTGAAGGATGGGGGTCACCGATTCCAGCATCCTGCCCTAAAAACCCGCCAGAAAAGAACACGGAACTTGAACTGGTACCGAAAGACAACTGGTCCTGAATCCGCGGGGCTTGCACCAAGTAAAAATCAGGTAGGCCAGCTTCCTGGACCCTACATGGATCAATTGGGTGTAAGACAGACTGTCAAATTCCAGGGTCCATCAGAATTCAGAGTACGGAGTGTTGAAAACGAGCCATGACGAGATGGGGCCTGACGTCGCCAACACAAATGCTTTGTCCTCGATTCCCTTGGACCCTTTCGGCCTGGGGCAGTGATGCAGTCGGCCACCTCGCGTCAGGACGACTCAAGTAGGTTGAACATCCAAGAACCAGGGTATATGGGTATGGGCCAAAAATAGGTACCCAAAATGGACCCTAGCAAATGGAAACATGGACTAAAACCTGCGGTCCCCTGGTGGTTTAATTTTGACCCACGCCCATATGGCTGATACTCCTGGATCCTCTATGTGGGTGTTGAGGTACCAGCAAGAAAGTGAATTCAAAGGGAAAATCGCGGCCGCGGAGGATTGGATCATGTTGAGACCCATGTGGAGAGAAACGAAAACAAAACCAGGGGCGACTTCTGCAAAAAAAAGATCTAACACCACCATGAAAGCGCAACACCTCGCCATGCTGCATGGCTTTCGACAAACAAAACATGTGAATGCAATCTGCGAAAGCCTTGTGGTGGTGGAGTCCTGATAACCAGGCTCCGATGTTGGAACTTCAGTTCATTCTTGGGAGGCTTCGTACTGTGGAAGCTAAGGTAGTGCCATCCATTGGAAATTTTTGGAGTCATAAACCCTGTCACTCCTTGCTGAATCCCAGACACCAACATCTCCACTTGCAATGCTGTACCTTCGTTGCATCTGCGGGAGTTGGGCACATTTGGACATGCCATACTTCCGCGACCTCCCATGCCAGTCCAAGTTCTAATTTTGGTTTCAACCAACCCACACCTCCCAATCCCAGTTGTGAAGGCTCGCTGGTTCCATTGGTGGGTGATAAATCCAATTGAACCCACTCCAACACAGAAACATATATGGAAGGCAACGGTAACCAACCTCCAGAGATACAGCTGAGGTGTTGGTGTTGATCTGAGGCATGCACAATGGGATCTGCTGCTGGCGTCACAGCGCATTGACATGCCAGCCAACGAAGAACACTTCGCGCACACACACACACACACACACACACACACGTCCTTTTCTGAGGGACCCCCGCCTTTTTTATTTGAGGAAACCACCCAAAATGGGGGGGGGGGGGTTCTACAGAAGAAACACCCATATATTGCCAATGTGTGGTTTATGCAACACAAAGAAGCCAGTGTAACCCTGCGCGCTCTGACAAGTACTACATGCGACACTATCTGTGTCTGCCTTTCTGGCATTCGAAAGGATCCGTTCAAGGGCCGAACCCCACCACTCCACAAGCCCCTGACCTGAACGCAAAGCTCGCCCAGCACGAAGGCCTCTCGAGCGCAGTCCGTTGGGCCATTTTAGGGTCCTCTGTACCCATGGGAGTTGGGCCTCTCACTCTGTCAGCTTGTGGATTCTTTCGTGCACTCACATGTTGAACGCATCTCACATAATATATATATATATATATTATTTAAATCAACGCACATATAATATCATATGTATCATTATAAGTAAGATTATGCCGCACCAATGTTGGTAGTCCTTTAGACCCCTTCAATAGTTCATGGGTAAACTATGATAATTGGCCTTTCCTATGAAAAGAACTGACGCATGGGGCACCAAATCAGGAGCAGCAACATGTCGCTGGTGAGGTCACGCATTCATTCGCTCAAATAGATGTACACATGTAAGATTGTGTAATGGATTTTGTTGTAGAGTCCAGATTCGCTTCAACAGCTCTGGCCAAACTAGTATAATTCACCTCGAGATCAAACACCTATAAGGGTCACGATTGACTTTGCCTAAATACTTGTTACAGAGCCATATTCATAACGTCTTCCTCAATTTGACATTCTGCTAGCACTTTGCAATGTTCTTCGTCACCCGGAAAAAAAGAGAGAGAGAGCATACATTCAAAACCAACAATTGTTCGGCTCGGAACATGTCAGGGCACCTGATTTCCCCTTCAAATGTTTGAATTTCCTGATGGTTTCCACTACAGCTGCCACTTTCGGAGGTTGCAAAAAGGGACATGACACTCCCCCGTCGCGCTTTTATCCGCTCTGCCTTGTGGAACTGCTTGTTGCCCAAGAAGCCTTGAGCCGCCAGCAGAGACTGCAACACCAGCTCCTCTGCCTGAGGTGCGCAGGGCAGAAGAAGACTTCAACCCAAGGAAACTCGCCGGATCTCGCCGGCAAATCAGCCCAGGTGATGCTTCAAAGCCCTGAAGGGCGGATGGATGCGAAAGCCGTTCGCACCAAGTTGAAACCATGGGAAACCATTCTTTGGTATTTTGCAGTGGAATGGAATCATTCCAGGGTTTCTTAGGTGGTGCAGGATTTCGTCCATCCACAGTAGGGAACGCCCAAACACAAAAGCCTGCTTGCCACCAAGGGACCTGCTGAAATACAGGGTGATTACCTGTTGGATTGCCTTGACTAAATCTATTTGACAGCATTGGATTTCCGGCCTAACTAACAAGTTGGACAGGGTACAAAAAGGCCATTGTTGCCTCAATTGACTAAGAGGGGTCCCTCAAAATGTTTCAGCATGAAAAGGTCAGATGTGGTCGATTCAAGGGATATAATAACATCCAATCGGTTTATCCGGCTGAATTAAGCTCGTGATGGCAGTCAAATTTCCAACTTGGACACCATGCCTTGAGCCTATGAATGTCACCTTGTCTCGCTTGCTGGCCTCTCAATTCTACCATCAAAGTTACTCAAGTGCTGGGCCGATGGAATTTTAAATGACGGCAGTTTTCTGACTTTGGGCCCCAAACACTGTCAAACTGATGCCCATGTTGCTCTCTCTTTCCTTGAGCTGTGGCGAACATTTGGGCTCCGCGGCCGTCCGATCTAACGGAAACACCGGTTCACTGGACAGGTCTCTTCGAGCCGCCTCTTAGCCACAGGCCTCACAAGCCGCGAGCTGGACACTTTGGACTCCCTGAAACCGCAATTCGTGTTGAGGGCTCTTTTTGTGGGAGGCTCCAAAAGGAAAGCAAATGGAAACCACCCATATTTGTGGGGCGTCCTAGTCTTACCCCTTAAAACTCCAAGCCCTGGGGAAGTTAATCTTTTACAGACATATAGCCCATGTTACCCCCAAAAAGTGGAAAATTTGTGTTCTTAAGAGGGAAGTAGTTACAGGCTACAAACACACACTTGTGACACACACCAAAAGTGAGACTAAAGTCTCTGCGGTTCAGCGCCTTGTCTAAGCCGGTCTCCGGCGTACATTGCTTCCCGCTGACCTGTCAACCAGGCTCAAAAGGCAACCCAAAGGCAGCTCGTTGCAACCCAGCCTCCCACATGGAACCTAAAAGGGTCCTGGAAGGCAATCCTTAAGGAACCCTCTGGTGGGTTCCATGTGGAGGGAGTATCAAACCTTAGGCAAAAGACTAATTTGGGGAGTTGAAATAGGGCGCCAAACAAATGATCCGTGTTCTTATGGTTTCCCTTTAGGTCAGCCCGCGCGAAAACCCTCGAAAGATTCCACCAAGCTGCCATACTTGAGAAGTCCAGCGGACCACCTTCCCCGTGCGTATGTGGTTCCCCCCAGGTGTACTGCGCAGGAAAGAAGCTTTCCATGCTTCCCCAATGGTCCGACGGACAGGCGTCATCCCAGGAGTCAAACATATTTTCCGGCTGCAACCTGTTGCCATTTGCCAAAAATGCAATCCAACTGGTGTATATAATATTGCTGAGCCGTAGAACAACGAGAACCGCTAAGAATGACGAATAGTGACGGTAATCATGGCTAAACCACTGCTTGATTCATAGAGGGGTCCAACCCTTTTCCTGGCAAGCCATCCATCCATCCATCTTCTACTTTCATCCAGAAAAAAAAGAAGAAGAAACAACTTTCAAAGTGTCGAACGTTGCAACATGGCCCGCCATCAGACTCGGCGGCCTCCTCCCCAGGTACCGAAGCCATCCGTTTCGATGCATGGCTTCTGGCCTGTAGCAAGCTGCAGTCTTGCAAGATCAGCTGCAGCCTGGCAAGAAAGCTGGGCTGTCAGATCCCCAGATAGGAAGTTCAACTTTTGGTGGGTTATATTTGGAAAGCCCCCACGAAACACCAAAGAGGCTAAAAAACATTTTTTGGAGGGATGGGAGCCACCAAGTACGCTCACCAGCATAGGCGACCCTTTTTTGGCCAAATCCATGGATTTGTCTGGTACATGGACTAAGCACCGTCACCACTCATCTATCATTTAACCAGACCATCCATCGGCTTGTGGATGAGACCCTAAAACCATATCGATCAAAACATGCGGCTTCTTGTGGCTGATTCTCTGTTTCTGTTCGGAGTTGGACCCCCCTCATAGTGAAAGGGAAACCAAGAGGAAAACCCACCTTTTGTCGTTGCAAGTGGATGTTGCGGCCAAACAGAAGTCCATCACTTCAAGGAATCCATTCCCACGGGCGTATCAGTATCCCTCAAGTCTCCAAGACCCCAGCAGAGTTCAGGGGCCCTAAATGGTCCTTGATGTGCACATCTAGGTCCAGTAGAGAGCTTAGAATAACTCAGTTCTTCAGTGACCCTGGAAAAAAAAGGGAACCCGTTTTTGGGAAGCCACCAAAACAAAGGGAAAAAGGGTGCCACCGAACAACTGAGATAAGGGTACCAACTTTTTTCAGCGGTCTATTTTACTAGGGGAACCCTCCCCCAAAAAAGGGTGAAAGGGCACTACTTGGGGACCTAGACATTGTCTTTCGATTACCCCCCTTCGGGAAATTGAAGGATCCCCGAACGAGGGATTCTTTTGGAGACTCCAGGCCCGTAGACGTACTTGTTGGTAGTTGCCCTAAGATATCCTGTACATGCCAACACAAAGAGGTTGTGGATATGGTGTACGTATCAACCCTGCGACAAATATAGAAGCATGAAATATGGACGCCAGACAACCCCGCAACAGTCGGGGTTTGCCAGGTGTCAAACATAGACCAACTCTAGAACACCCAAAGGCCGTGTTCTCTAAGTTCGTTGGAACAGTTGTGTAGCCGCGCCTCTTTTCGCGGCTTGGCGATTGATTTGTTTCTGAGGGCAACTTGACCTTGTCAGCTCCTCCCACAGGCCTCTCTCGCATCTGATCAAACCAAGCAGGGTTGCGCTGCCTGGCGGCGCATGTTGAACTGGCCAAACGCATGGGTTCTCCCACGCGTGCACACTGCACCTCAAGGGGTTTCCGGTTTTGCCAACCCAGAGAGCAACAAGCTATCAAAACAAAGGCCTTGACATGACCAGCCTTTGCTTGTAGGATGTTCTACTATGACATGAGTCGCGGTACAACCATGTCAGGAGCGAGGCAGTTCAAGCTGAGGAACCTTGTTTCCCGCCGGCAAGCCCTGCCGATGACTCGAAGGCCATCATGCACTAGCGTACTCGCGATGGTGCTTGTCATTCGTCACACGTTTCAATAACCAAACACACACACACACACACCCTTTGTGGAAGCATCAGTGTCCTTTCAGAACTTTCACCTTCCAGGGTGAACACCGGACGGAGGGGAGGTTCGTCAAAATGGAGCCACCCCCCTTAAAGCGCCATTCAAACCAGGGTGAATCTGAATCTAAGCTCTAGCAGAGCACCCTCATTTCCACCAAGCAGAGATTCAACAATTCTGAGGCGGGCACTGACGTGTCAAAGTGTAGGCGGAGTTGAGCGAGACCTGGCAAGCGTTCCGGATTCCGGTGAGAAAAACGATCCCAGTTGATGCACAGGATACCTCCCTGCCTTTCTCTATCTGAGAAATTCACGTACAGTTCTTTTCCTCGACTGGGAGTTGAAACTGTCGCATCCCGTCGAGGGCATCGGCATCCTACGATATTATCTCAGCTCTCCAACAGGAGCTGGACAAAACCAAACGAGAGGAGATCTCTCGGGGGAAAAAAAAAAAAACGAAAAACACGAGCTAAGCGGAATGGGCACCGAGTAGCCCTCGGGGGCTCAACATTTTGCGTGACACCATTGCTTTAGATGGGCGGCGAGACATCTTTTAGGGTACCCCTTGTTTGATGGTGTCAAAAGAAAAAGTAAAAGGAAAGCCACCACATTCTTTTGGGGGGTACCCAAAAAAGGCACACCGATAATGCTTTACATAGCTTTAGCCCAAATGGGAATGGTGAACAAGTCGGGGCTCGCTGGCCTCTGGAGATCCAAGTCTTTCGAGTGATCGATCTCTTACAACAGGAATCCTTACGTTATACACCTGAACATTGCCTTGTAAATGCTGGTGTCCCTTTATTTTGGTGGAACAAGCCATGTTTTAAATGGTTGCAAAAGGAATCTTTTAAGGAGCCCTGTACACTGTACAACTTGAGTTGTTTTAGAATCTCTGCTAAAGGCGTCAATTCACCAATTCACAGGTTTCGAGGCAAGGGCAAGCGATGCCAACTCCAAAGCTTTCGATCGCTAACTTTGCAAATCGCACAGGAGCTCGTGTCAAACCGGACAGGTGAGACGGTCTCAAGATTTGTCTGGCCAAATTTCTAGGCATGCCAGGCACTGCTGGTTCAGCAAGTTGTTTCCCTTGCTTTACCTGCACCCCCATCCTGGCAAACAGTACGTCAAAGCGGGCCATCAGAACGACTTCTTGATCTGAAGAGGCTTCCCTTGGTATCACAGAAAGCATGACAGTAGACCGAACGGGGCGGGGATACCTGTCCAGACGAGAAACCAGAGACGCAGTATCCAAACTCCACCCAATCCGACTGACTTCCGCTTGAGACCCGAGCCGTCCGACGTCCCGCCTTCTCGCACACAAGCCGCGGCAAGAAGATGCACCAGCGCTTGAACCTGGTCGCATGTCCGCAACATCAGCGACGGCTTGGCTCGACCCAAAAAGTGAATACACTAGGGCTGGAGTTGCGTTTAAGGGAAAAACATGATTTTACTTTTGGGCGGCGAAAGCCTTTTGGGACTTTTTGAGGGACACCAAGCAACAGTCAACCATGTGTGCGTCCTTCCCCAGCGCGCCGTATCTCATTGGCCGCCTCTCTTCACCCCAACGGAAGGTGAAGAAATGCATGACTGCCCGGACACTCGATGCACGCAACATTTTCCACATCTGCTATGTGCAACAATCATTGCCTACGTGAACCTCAAGGATCTTTCTCTGATCATCTAGTTCCCCGTGTGGATGTAACACTGCCAACAACATGCAGGAGGGCAAAGAGACACCCGCGTGAGCTGCTTCCCGCGTTTAACTCGTATTGATGGGTGACGTGTCTTTTAACCACAGCACGTGCCACCCTGTGACCATGTCAATGTTTCAGCTGTGGGCAGAGCTTACCTTAGCCCAAATTGGCAAATAAAACTAAAACGACTCCCCTGGAATTGCTCTTCAAGAAAGCCCTTTTCCCCCCCGGTCCAATGGACCTCCAAATGGGTTGTTGGGTCCTTGACTCGCAAAAGCGGCAAAACCCGATGGAGTCATATCCCTTGGACTCGCTCTTGCACGTCAGTTCCCCCCGTGGGTTGCCGTTGCTCCGGCCCGCTTTCGATTGCTGAACGGACCCGGGAAGAAAAGGTTCCTAACCGGCGACCCCATGCTCAAATCAACCGCCTATGGCTTAAGTATATCAGTGACCCCAAGATGTGCGTTACGTAGATCCATACAGCCTTTACAACTTGGGAACTAGCCCAAGGCCCAAGGTGTACCAGTCCTTTTTTTTGACCATCCCTCCCCAAGGGCAAGGCCTGGTTCATTAAGTCTCTTCACATATATATATATATATATATATATATAAAGGCATGGTTTCCAGGTTGCGCCGCAAAAAGCCGGTGCTTAGACTCGAAAGCCACATACAAGCAGTGCATGCTAGGAATCTTTCAGTGGGAGACCCGCTTACATGCTGGGGTCTTTGGACATTTAACTTGCCCCGAACCGTTGCATTGGCAACCCCTACCCAACAAAGTTCTGACGCCAGGTTTAATTCACTTATATGTATAATGTATGTGTGCATATATATATATATATAATACATATAAATATATATACATATAATCATATATATATATATATATACATATACATACACGCATGAGCCTGAACTCTCCATTAAACTTTCTAAATCACTCACTTTCGACTTCTCCCAATTACGCAGATTTGTTCTACCTTCTCGGTTCCCTTCTCCCAAGACATCCAAGCTTGGGGATGTGTATACGGAGCTTCGTTGCACGAAACCCTTATGGAACGCACCGGCAGCCGCAATCGTATATCCAAGCATTACATATGTGACCCTGCTTGGGCTGTTTGCGGCCGTTTGTTCGAGAGGGAGCGACTCAAATCCTCCAAGTCACAAGCTTGTGAATGCACAGGCGGGTCATGAAACAAGCGCCGCTTTTGGAGGTCCGTGAAGTTGAGCGAGCCCTGATTGCCGTCCCCTATCGAATGCAACAATCGGATGTTCAAGGAATCAAAAGCCACGGCATATGAATTACCCCCCGCCACCTTGAGGGGCTGAAAGGGAACACAGAAATCCAAAGTGCAGGGACGTGCACTCTTTTGGAGTGCCAGGGGTGACCGACCATTCTGGGACTTTTGACTCCAGTGATTTATTTTGGACTGGATGGAGTCTCAGGGATGCTTAATAGTTCAATCTCAGGAGTTTGCGTCCCACCGCCTAACAAGACAACAAGGCCTAAACGCTTCATGTGTTTTGGTGTTGGGCAAGTCAGTTTAGAGGGAGGCATGAAATGTAACGGTTTATAGTTTGTTGTTTTGGGCAAGTCAGTTTGCAGGGAGGCATGATGTTCAGGAGGTTCGGGTAAAAATTGGGGAAGGTCTTTGGGGAACCAGGCAGCACAAAATGACGACATCAGGGATCGACAAAGCCACCTATCTTTTGGCAACCCTTCTAATGGGTCTCTCTGTGTTGAGAGCACGCTTTCTTGGGTTGCTTTTGGAGCAAACCACATGAAAAACTGTTTTGGATGCTCCCCCCAGTTTAGAAGCAAACCTTTAAATGGCGGTGATTCCAGCAGTCGCAAAAAAAGAAAGAACGGCAGGCGCTTGCATGTCAGGCTGCCCAGGGCCCACTTCGCCATCCATTCCGGCAAGAGAAACACCTCGTATCTCGACGGGAGCGACTCACAGTGCTTTGGTTGAATCTGATTCGGAAAAGCCGGTGAAAAGGAAAGAACATGGAGGAATCCACAGGGCAACTAATTGTGATGTGTCAAGAGAGCACTGGAAACAAAGAATGATTTCTCCTGAAATGATTAAAACAAAGAAATAGGGGGTTGATCCTCCAGTTTTCAAAAAGCCCCCACCAATGCGTCATGGGAGGTATGACCCATCCCGGCAGTCAGAAGCAATCCCCATAAGGAGAAGTTTGGACCTGCGACGCTCCAAAGGTGCGAGCTTGAACCGATGGTTTTCCGTTTCTTTCCAATAGCATGCGCCCAAGACTCGGCATAACTCATGACCCAACTCGGCGTTTGGAGTCCGGGCTGTCAAAATGATGGGCCCCTTTTTGGACCCCTGGATGCGGCCGAAAAGACTGGAGTCGCCTTCAGGAGCTCCTCCGTTTGACCTGTTACTTACCCCTTTAAAGTCCAAGCCCTGGGGAAGTTAATCTTTTACAGACATATAGCCCATGTTACCCAAAAAGTTGAAAAGTTGTGTTTTAAAGAGGCAAGGTTAAAACCAAGAGATGCGTCGACCCCTCTCTCAAGGCGTTGCCAATGAGAATGCGGACGGCTCACAATCCGCAGGGCTCCCCTGTTCGAGATGAACCCGGAGATGTTGGCATCGCATCCAGACCACCCTGCTGAGAATATGGAGTCTCCTTTGGGGTTCACCTCGTGGGACCTCTACTAAAATGGACCAAACAGGGAAAACCAAAAGCTCAAAGGAGTTCCTTCGGTCCCCAAAAAGCTGGCCATGTCTCTTCGAGTCAACGAACCGTCAACGAACCAGCGCCTGCCGAACCGGCGCCTACCCAAAAAACCCGAGCCGAAAGGCTGAGGAAAGGCTTTTCAAAAGGCCACTTGACCCGGCTGGATAAAAAGCAAAAGGGATCCCTCCAAAATGTGTTTTTCGCCTGCAACTTGCCAAGACCGCCCTCCTGTTCTCCTCTGAAAAGCGAAATCAAGCCAAGAGACTCTCTCTCACTGCACTGAACACGCGAGCTCCAGACTTGATCCAACTCGGTTGGCGCGTCAAAAGGTATGGGTTGAGCCGCCAAAAGTTGGCCACGGCCACGAAAGCCAAGGCATCAGTTGAGTGGCGAGAGTGGCCTTTTTATGCCTTTTTGCGCCAAACCGGCACTGGTCGTGCGTGTGACTTGTCTCGCGCTTTGTGACTCTGCTTCGCATGCGCCAATTTTTTGTCTCGAGAACCGGGGGAAAACAAGTAAAAAAGAAGAAGTGTGTTGTTCTTCTTCTTTTTTATGTCGGTTCTCAGGGCCATTGCTCAAAGCCCCCAAAAGTAACCCGGCAGCAAACCTCGGCGCGTCACGAAACCCAAACAACCACAAAGCCTTGCCAGCGCCGCCGGGGGCAAACTCAGAGAATGACTCGAATTGACAGAGCTAGGCAGTTCCGAGAAATCCCAGGCCCGATTGCACCGAAGGCAGATTGCACCAGTCTCTCAAAGCATAGTGCTCACTCACCTGCCAAGCTCTCGGGTGAAACACCTCTAGGGATTGGTGTGTCAATTTGTTTTGTGGCCCTGCCGGATCCTCACCATACGGAGACTCAGGCAGCGAGTCTAAAGAGACTGCAATAAAAGCAATGGTTATGTGACTTTGCAACACAATGTATGTATCAACGTATGCATGCATGCGTCCACTAATTACGTTCGTATTTCAATGCATGTATACACATATATATATATATCTATATTCCTGGATCCTCCAACGATGGTTTCTTTCAGTCTCTCACGCAAATCCTTCTCAGCAACTGCGAACCCAAAAGCACGACGCACAAACAACGCGAAACAGCCCGAAACAAAGCAATCATTGGAGGATTCAGGTAGTGACACCGTTGTGCACTGTGCGGCAATTGCGCAACAGCGGCTGAACACATCAGCCATATGGTGAGACAGCGTGCTGAGCGCAGAATACTCCGCTCATGTGGTTGCGAGTAAATGCCGGGCCAAGCCGTCCCAACTGCATTGCGGATTGTCAGCTTCCCACTTGGTGGCTTGGATTGTGAGGCTTCCCGATTTACCCACCAGAACAGCTTCACATCCAAATCCAAAATCCAAACCACCAAGCAGAAGCTGAGCATTGTGGATGCTGCATTTGGGAGAAAAAAGAAGACGCCCCCACTGAATCGTAGAGTCCGCATCGATTCTTCGGTTCTGGGGAAGGCTTCGCTCCGAGACAGCTCTCAGCTAGATTGGAGTTTCTCAAACCTGTCAACCCGACACGCCACACGCGACACGATTCTGGCAATTCAAACCAGAATGGATGCCCGAAATCTGGCAAGATAAGTGTAAAAGGAAGCCTGCAATTTACCAAGTTGGCTCACTCAACATTTCAGGCAAGAAAATCAACATTTGCGCGCTGGAAAGCACGTCCCGCTGTAGTTTGCTGTTTGGGGTGGGGTTACCTTGAGACCTTGAGCGGGCAAGACGGGCTAGTCCATCCGGCCAGGAGGTCAATGGCAGGATGCATGTAAGCTTCAATTCCTTGCCCACAAATTGTGTCAAGCCGCTATTGGACTCCTATTGGACTTTACACATCCCCCGTACCTCAAGGGGGAGAGTGGGCCCCCAATTCCATTTATCTAGGTATTTCCCGTAAAAGGGAACATGGAACCAAAACTAGAATTCCGGGGGTCGCAAACCCCCCTCCCCCAATTCTAAGTTTAGGCTGGGATAGTACACCCATTTCCTGATGTTGCAATGTGTTGAGTGCACCCCATGCCCTCTATAGAAATGGACTTCGCCATGGTCTACAGGAAGGCCAGAGGCCTCATCTTTCATTTCAAAGGACCGAAGGGCAGCGTCCTTGGTGGAAAGATCACCCAGGAAACCGCCACGAACCAGATCTCCTTGTGAATTCCGCAACTTCTTTATCCAGCTTGAGGTATGTTGAGGTTCTCCTGTTGTTTATCTCACATGCCAGGCGGAGAACAAAGTGCATCATATGCGACTTCAAAACTTTTGGATGTGTTTTGAAGCGGGATGTGACCCTCCAGGTTCCCTGTGAAACCAACCGCAACAGCTGCCCCCAAAAGACAGACTCATCTGGGTCGCAGTGGTTTTTGCGGATTTACTTGTTGGGGAACTGCTTGCCCAAAGAGCCTGGGGGTGAACGAAGCTTCGGATCCTTGACCAAAATTTGTCGCCAAACTGGGAAAACCAACGTGAGTCATCGGTTCAGGAAGTCCTTGAGGTCTGGTATCTGCAGGATGCGGCCGTTGGGCCACGTGTAAGAGTTTTGAGCCGGAACCATGGTGTTTGGCCGTGACAATCAAAAACAGGTACCCAAAATGGACCGGAAAGAAAGACTAAAGCCTGGGGTTTGCCCTAGCCCTGACAAGTTTTGAGCCACACCTCTTGGGGCTCAGCACAACTATGAAAAAGGCCGCAGAGGGAAAATGAACCAAGGTCCTGGCTCCTCGATCCAGCAGTCCCGCATCGCCTGTCGCTCGTTGCTCAAGAATACTTTGCGGCCAACTTTGGTGCGCATGGTTTGGGAACTTTTTGGGGCTGTGTTCAAGAGAAACCAAGAGGAAACCACAATAATTACTTGGGCTATGGGCTGTTTTCAAGGGAAACCAAGACGAAACCAAAATACTTTGGCAACCCAAAATTTGGGGCTGTGTTCAAGAGAAACCAAGAGGAAACCAAAATACGTGGGCTACCCTTTTTGGCTGTTTTCAAGAGAAACCAAGAGGACACCAAAGTACTTGGGCTACCCTTTTTGGGGCTGTTTTCAAGAGAAACAAAAAAAACAAATACTTGGGCTACCCGTTTTGGCTGTTTCCAAGAGAGGAAACCAAAATACTTGGGCTACCCTTTTTGGGGCTGTTTTCAAGAGAAACCAAGAGGAAACCAAATACTTTGGCAACCCAACAATTGGGGCTGTGTTCAAAAAAAAGCACGAGGAACCCACATTTTACTAGGCGAGTGGCCCGCATTTTGAGACGAGCCCATGAGGGCCAATGTCGTGAGGCTGTGTTCCAATTCGCTGAATACCTATGCCCTGTTGGTCTGTATGCCAGCCATATGGCTGTGGCTCAAAAAAAGGTACCAAATTGGAACCTTGGTAAGTGGAAACATGGACCAAAACCTGCGTAACCCCTCCTGTTTAATTTTGAGCCACACCCATATCAGCAATACAAGCCGTCTGTCCTGAAAGCTTGAATGCATGCACCTGGGTTCCGAAAATTAGGGGGCCTCTTTTGGATTTGCCCTGCCATCCTTCATGGCACCTGACGTTTCGGGCGGTCCTTTGGACATGATTCCTTTCAAACGGACCATTTCGCGACCGTCAGGTCGTCAGGCTCCATGTTCGTAATTGGTGGGAGGGCGAAGGAAAACGAAAGGAAATCCAAAAAGGTCGAGTGTGTTGCGAGTTGGGTTTCGGGGATGCAAGATCCAGCACCACCCCAAAAAACTGTTTTCGTTTGACATGGGATTTTGGAAAGCACTTGGGGGGGGGGGAATCGAAGCCGGATATTTTATTGGACAGTGCGTGGGAAGTTGAGCATGAGAAAGCACTTGGGGTGTGATCGAAACCGGATATTTCATTGGACAGTACTTGGAATGTTGGACATGAGAAAGCATTTCGGGGGGGTGATCGAAACCGGATATTTTATTGGACAGTGCGTGGGAAGTTGAGCATGAGAAAGCACTTGGGGTGTGATCGAAACCGGATATTTCATTGGACAGTACTTGGAATGTTGGACATGAGAAAGCATTTCGGGGGGTGATCGAAACCGGATATTGCATTGGACAGTACTTGGAATGTTGGACACATGAGAAAGCACTTGGGGTGTGATCGAAACCGGATATTTCATTGGACAGTACTTGGAATGTTGGACATGAGAAAGCATTTCGGGGGGTGATCGAAACCGGATATTTTATTGGACAGTGCGTGGGAAGTTGAGCATGAGAAAGCACTTGGGGTGTGATCGAAACCGGATATTTCATTGGACAGTACTTGGAATGTTGGACATGAGAAAGCATTTCGGGGGGTGATCGAAACCGGATATTGCATTGGACAGTACTTGGAATGTTGGACATGAGAAAGCACTTGGGGTGTGATCGAAACCGGATATTGCATTGGACAGTACTTGGAATGTTGGACATGAGAAAGCATTTCGGGGGGTGATCGAAACCGGATATTGCATTGGACAGTACTTGGAATGTTGGACATGAGAAAGCACTTGGGGTGTGATCGAAACCGGATATTTCATTGGACAGTACTTGGAATGTTGGACATGAGAAAGCATTTCGGGGGGTGATCGAAACCATTGGAATATTGCACTTTATACATTGGACAGTACTTGGAATGTTGGACATGAGAAAGCATTTGGGGGTGATGATAATTGGACATGAGAAAGCACTTGGGGTGTGATCGAAACCGGATATTTCATTGACAGTACTTGGAATGTTGGACATGAGAAAGCATTTTCGAAACCGGATATTGTGGACAGTACTTGGAATGTTGAGAAAGCATTTCGGGGGGTGATCGAAACCGGATATTGCATTGGACAGTACTTGGAATGTTGGACATGAGAAAGCATTTCGGGGGGTGATCGAAACCGGATTTGCATTGGACAGTACTTGGAATGTTGGACATGAGAAAGCATTTGGGGGTGATCGAAACCGGATATTGCATTGGACAGTACTTGGAATGTTGGACATGAGAAAGCATTTCGGGGGGTGATCGAAACCGGATATTGCATTGGACAGTACTTGGAATGTTGGACATGAGAAAGCATTTCGGGGGGTGATCGAAACCGGATATTGCATTGGACAGTACTTGGAATGTTGGACATGAGAAAGCATTTCGGGGGGTGATCGAAACCGGATATTGCATTGGACAGTACTTGGGATTTTCGACATGAACAAGCAGTTAAAGGGTGCTGGATAGCCGGTCTTGCGAATGTGGCAAGCTTCCGCCATCGATCGGGTTTGGCATCTCTGCTCAAGTCTTTGGAAGCAAGCTGCCTGAACCAGCCTGACGCATGGGAAACCAAGCCGTCCGGGTACACAACTTCTGGATTCGCCGTTGCTGTAGAGTTTTCTACACTCGCACTTCAAACATCACCAAAGAAACCTCACGGGCATTTTTCCAGGGGTGGATCTGATTGACTCCAAAAACAGTCCTCACCCTTGCTTTTGCTCCCAAGTGGTTGTGTTCTGACTAGCTTATGATCCATATTTGGTGAGCCTTAAGCTATGAAACAGTATAGACACACATCCCAGTATTGGCAAGGGCAAGCTACAAGCTGCAGGTCGCACTTAGCGAGATGGACAGTTGGGATTGATGGGGAGGGATTCCTGACATGGGTTGTTTCACAAGCCCACACTCCAAACACCTCAAAAAGCCAGATTTGCCTTGTGATCAAAACGTGGAATCCAAAATTGGACCGGTCGAGGGCGGGACATTGCTTGGCTTGAGACCAACCCGACATCCAACAGCTTCTCGAGCCAGTGACAAAACGACCGAATGCCCCGCAGTGCCTCAGACTCCGCTGCAAACTCCCCAGACGCAAACTCCACTTCCCCACTCGGGGGCAGCTGGACCTGCAAGAGAATACAGACGCGAAATTCTGCGTCATCCAAAAGGGGATTCCCTCGGTATCATGGACACGGGACACTTTGGGGTGGACAGTCTTGAAATGACACCATCGATTTGTGTTGCCACTCCTTTTGACACATTCTGACATGATGATTCCCAACCGTGACTACTGAATGTCACATTTCATGCTTGCATTCCCCAAGGGTATCACGAGGGTGCACGTATGTGTCTATATTAGCGATCAATCTAGGTATTGATGGAAAACCACCCATTTTGGAGTCCCCCTCTTTTTGGAAACATTCTATGGTCTGTGTTTTGCAGATCCCTCGTGACGAGTCACATCACATCAAACAAACAGTATCCTCAGTCGGCCGTAGCCAAGAGTGCACTTGCCCTTGGGTGTGTGATGGATTGGCTTCCTTTGGGATGAAACTGCACTGAGTTCAGCTTGATCTGGGCCAAAAGTCGAACACTTTGGGCTAAATGGAAACCACCAAACCCTACAACCCAAAAGGGATGGCTGGGAACCACCAAGTGATGTGGTTTCGGACGGACAGGTTGAGGGAACCTAAACTGGCTGAATGGGCGGGCAAGCTACGGCGGTCAGTAGAATCGTTGGGTGCTAGATCGTTTTCTAACCCTACACCCATTTGAACAATTGGACTCATTAGTCTCAACCACCTACTGTGGATGGACGAAATCCTGCACCGCTTGGAAACCATGGGAAACCATTCTTTGTTGGTAGTTACAGGGGAATCATCCTTCCAGGGTTTCTTAGGTAGTGCAGGATTTCGTCCATCCACACATACCTCGTTTTGGGGGGTGTTCCTTGCCTCGCTTTGCCCAACAAATGCTTCCACGCGGCCTTTACTGTAGTCTTCTGTCAGTAAGTATGGGCAGTCGCTCATTGAACCAGTTGAACACGCCCACTAAGTGGGATGGACTGAATCTGGAGATTGGATCGGATAAACGGTACATAGTTGGCTCTCTGTTGGATGCTTGAGTGATGGCTTCAGTGACAAAACGGTGAGTACTTTCAAGGACTATGTTTGAAAGGGTAACCGGTTGCCTTGGGGGTGCCTTGTGGCCAAGCTGAAGCACTACAGCGCAACAGAATCCCTTGCCACATGCACCAGCCAGAAGCAAGTTTTTTACCAAGTGCCATAGAGTTCATTGTCTCTACACATGTACAATGGAGAAAGCTCATAATTCCTTCAAGAGCGATGGTGCGGCTTGCCTAAAATTGTCGCAAAGCAGTTGAGCATAAAGCCTGCTGAAAATGATTGAAAGTCAACCAAGAGAAGATCCGTCACACTGGGGGTCCATTCAGGACACATATATAGTAAAATGCCCTCGTTTTGCCGCTTGTGCGAATGATCAACTTCCTCCAACTCCCAAACAGGGAGAACAACCAGGCAGTAATAGTCAATCGTAGAGGAGATATCCTCTTTGGGATTACTTTAGAGGCCACAGCTCGCGGCATTTTGGATGAGGGTGCATTTTTAGTCTGCCGGACGTGGAGCTTTGTCCCAACAGCGCTGTCGGCCATCTCAGCAAAAAATGTGACCTGCTCTACCATCTAAACGGCTGTCGATGCCTGTGCAATTGCGCAGAACACATTTGCCGCCTATGCAAGACAGGAGCTCTTCGCGTCTGCATCAAACCCACTTTAGAGTCCAGGTCCCTTGAAGTACCTGGTGAGGATGAGCTTTCTTTTGGCCCCGCAAGTACACCCTTGGGCTACCCGCCTCCGCTCAAGAGCTGTGCTTTTCACATGGCAAAGGCGCCACGCCTGAAAGGTCCAAGGCTTGCAACTGTCGTCGTTGGGAATCAAGGTGATCTTGGCTTTGGCAATGTCGTCCTCGGCCGTCAACTTTGACTTTTGTTTGTTTGTTGGACGTCCGCCAAAGGCGGACAGTGCTTTTAACACGCGGAAACTTGATTCCAACCAATTCTCACTGGTAATCACCGGTTCTATGTTGGGTCAACACGAAGGGGCAGAAGCTTCTACTCCTCCAAGGGCGTTCATTCTTCCCACAAAACCCGCCGGGGGGGGGGGGGGTGGGTGTCGTCTGGGAACCAGTTCCATCTAGGGAGCGACGCCGGTAAGGCCCACGGCCTTTCAATGTACACCTTGGAGGATGGCAAAGGGGACCTTCTTCCAAGAATTTGTGGAAGTGGATAGGGGGGCTTCCCCCCCAAAACAAAAACTGGAAGTCCCGGCGAGTCAGCTTCCATGCTTGGAGGGAGGATAGTTTGACTTTCATTTCTCGTAAAGTTCAATGACAAGTATGTCAACTAGGTCCGCCAGTAGAGAGGTTAGAATAAGGATATTATTATAGTCTATTTTAGTAGGGGAACCCTCCGCCCAAAAAGGGTAAAAGGGCACTACTGGGGGACCTAGTCAAGACTGGCACATCCAGCTGCCCACAAAGCTTTGCAATCAACAGTTCTGTGACCTCTGAAAGGCCTTCCTGACGAATTATTCAGCTCACGGAGAGAGGTTCCTTTTCGTTTCAAATGTATTCAAGCGTAGGGTTTTCCATTCCCCTAAAACTCAGAACCTCAATATTCGAATATGTCGCTTGGCGCACGGCGATTCTCACCCTGATGAATCTCGGTTGCTTTCTGCTCCCCTGCTAAAAGTTTATCTTTTAGTGGTTTAGTGCAAAACCCGTTAGTTGGCAAAAAGTTAAAGTCCCAACAGCCAAGCAACATGCACCAAAGGAATATCGCCGGCAAATAGAAATCAGGGGGTATTTTACTGTGTAGATCCCTTTCATCCAGCGGGTGCATTCCCGTTTTGTGCCATTCTTATTATCTGGCATGCCGAGACCAAACATGAACGGAGCCAAGCAAAGCAAACCAAAGACAAATGGGGGCCCAAATGACCATGGGTGAAACTTCCCATTTGGTGGAAATTATCATCTTTTTACGGGTTTTCCCAAATGATCATCCCATGCAGAGGACCTTTTGATCAACCCCCAAATGCCAGTACAGTGAAGGGGAGGGCAGTGATCAGGAGTCATCAGGCAGCCCTTCAGGTGTGCGCAACTCGCATGCGTGTGGCCCTGTGAGAAGTGAAGAAGTGACAGGGCCATCCTCCATTTGCTGAAGTCGAATATTTTCGGTGGTGATAGATTCCCTTTAAAACCAAAAAGGGAAAATAAAAACATGTTCTCCAACAAATGGAAACCATGATCTTCCCCTGCAGCAGGACGATGGGGGCAAAGGTCTTGAATTCAATCTCAACTGGGCTGTCCTCAGATCCCTTGCTAAAGGTTTAACCTTTAGTGGGTTCAATGGACGCCCCTAAACCGATTAAGCACCGAAATGCTGAGGAATCGGATGGCTAGGAACGAAGTTTCATGGGCGTCAGTGACCAAATCATAAGTTGGACATTGCTTGACACAACTCTTCTTGGGCTCAAACCAACACATCGAATAGGGCAAACGATGACACTGAAACTAGATGGCCCTGGAAAATGGAGCATAATACCAATCCAAGCCAGTGGAACCCATCTAATTCTAACCAAACGAACCGATCAAAAGGACACCTTTGCTTGGCACCTGGGTGCCTGGGTGTGGCTCAAAATAAACCAGCTGGGGCAACGCAGGCTTTAGTCTACTTTTCCATTTACCGATCGGGTCCTATTTTCTGGGCTGCCCTCAGATCCCCCAGTAAAAGTTTAACTTTTAGTGGGTTAAATGGAAACTACTACTAAACACTAAAAGGCTAAAAAGCTAAGGGGATGGCTGGGAGCCACCAAGTGTTGGACCCCATCTTTTGAGCCACCCCCACTTTGGAGGTCCAAACACCAGGGGGGAAACTGAGGGACCCGGGTCGGTCCATCCGATTTCAAACCAAGAAGCTGAGGTGTAGTACACCAGCTCTCGGTCCTGGCGATGGCGCGGAACCGCCCCGTTTTCAAAGCTTCACAACCCGAACAAGCTACGTATGGGCTGGCAAACAGCCGGCTCGCATTTTTGCAGCCCCCTAGTACGAATCAACAGGACCCAACAAAAACAAAGAACATTTGATCCAAGAACACAAGTTGCAATTGCTTCAGGGACCTGAACAGTGGATCGATCCCGTTGTTCACCCCAGACCGCCCAGTGTACGAAGGCCAACCGACCGAACTTTAGGTGATGCTCTCGCCCCATCGATGAGTTCAAAACGTGACCCCCCGTTCCCCTCTCAGGACGCAAACAGGCATTCAGGGCGATTTGTTTTCGGTTGCCAGGGCAGGATAGGTGATTTGCCGTGTTGAGCTAATTGTGAGTCCCCCGAGCTTTTGTAGGAAACTTCGTGAGGCCCCAGGCTCCTCCCAAAGCCTCATGAACTGGCCTGACGATGGCATGTGATGCTGATAGGACCTAGCTCTGTTCATGCCACGTCCATGTTCACTTCAACACAGCCGCTCAAAGCCAAGATGCCAACTTCCGTACATAAGCCCATGAGCATGAAGAAACCCAATGGCCATGAGGGGAACAACATTGGTTCTTAGTCGTTGAAGTGGGAAACAACGGAAACCGGAACGGGAAAAGAGCGCCACCGAAGAGAGCGCCGCTTGGAAGTGTGTGCTGCCCCGCCAACCGGCCCGAGATGGCAAAAGCTGTTCAAGCTCCAGCCAAGTTCTTCCAAATGTGTAACACAGCTAGTTGACCTTGAGTCGTATGAGTGACCTGAACGCTAAGAACCGCCCTCTCTCTCTAGACTACTCTGCTTGGCAGGCGACGCACATTTGTCTTTTTCCCTACCACGCAAATATCCCAAGTTTGGTACGATTTCGCGACTTGGGCCGCAGAGATCCATTGCGTTAGCAAGCTGCTGGCTTGGCCTAAGACCAAAGAAGCATCCGGAAGATTCATTTCACGAGGGCCCATGAGCCATAAGAAGGACCCTCCTTGCGATCGATCCATCGATCGCGCGATCGCCCACGCGAGCGCTCGATCGCGCGATCGCCCCGGGCGAAAATCCGAAAAACAAATCGATCGCTCGCACCCGGCTGGGATCCGGAAAAAAAGAATAAAAAGTCCCACCTCCTTCTTGCTCCAGTAGACGAGACTGCCGTTCTTGGCAATCCACATCTCTCGCTCAAACCTGAGAACTCAGCCAAAGGACATCCGTCAATTCGCTTGATCAAGGCTATGGCCTTGCCTTCTCACCCCCCTATAACAAGTGAACCATATTAGCATATATTTGCAAACAATGAACATTAATTAACATAACAACAATGAACATACATAATACTACTACAAATGATAATAAAATCAATAACAATAAAGATACCCGCGCTAGTCATGCTGTTCATCTTTGGGGAAAAAACAAAAACATGCGAGGTGCAACGACATTGCCCCGATGCCAACTGGGCCAAAAGCCAAAGGCCTGCTTGCGGAAAGGGGACCCTTCCGCGTCCTTCGCCCAAAGCTTTTCTTCCAAATTTGCGTTTTCGCCCCCTAGGAAAAATGTCGAGTGATAGACTCCCTTAAAAGACAACATGGAAAAATACATGTCCAGTAGTGACAGATTCCCTTTGAACACAACAAGGGACAATAAAACATTATTATTTCAGCAAATGGAAGTGTTGGAACCTTTGCTAAAGATAGCCCAGGAGTTACTTTGCAAAGCAGCTCGTTTACCACAGGTGATTGAGGGCTGCCCAGTTTTCCGCCTGTCCAACCCAATTCTATGACCACCATGTTACTCGTTGCTCTTGGTTTAGGCAAACTGGTTTCGTCGGGGTCGGCCAAAAAACAACAACCGTTCCACAGCTGTTGTGCAAGAATATGTGTACCCTCGAAGAAACAAAGTCGGACTGAGATCCAGAATCCTATCTTCCATTTGCCTAAGTTCCCTGAAAAAAGAACAACACTTCCTTTTCCAGTGTATAGATTCTCAGCATATAGATTCCCTTCAAAACCTCACTTCCGGAGTGCATTGGCCAAACCAAGTCCAAATGTGTTCTTCACCAATAGAACGGTCCAAGCAAACTCCAACAAGCGAACTCAGGAAGTGAGAAACCAACAGGGGAAGATGACACACATTCCTGAGGAAATGGACGCCATGGGTAAATATATGGTTTAAGAAAACATCCGAGTCCTCAACTGCCCGGCACAACGGGTGGTGATTGGTCCCCCAATGGTCGTTTAGTCAGGCACGGGAATCCCAAGGCTCGGACCCCGATTCCGACCCCCAAATGCGTTTTTTCTAACGAGGGGGGAAGGGGGATCAGACGGGGGAATTGCCCTGGCCATGATCAGTGACTAGTCATGCACCAATTAAACCAACATAACTCATCCATTAAACAATCAGGGTCTCCTACAAAGGAAACTGGAAACATTGAGCCCCACATCGCAATCGCCTTTGCGAGGCTCTACAAACTGCAACAATTGATGTTCATTGGTTGAAGGGCATGGCGCGTCAAGACAAGTGAACACGTCACCAGCTGGCGACCCGCACCAGTCTACCTCCTTCTTCCGATCGCCCTCTGCCTGGGACTACACCCCGACTAGCGCAATCAGCTACAACAACCAAGGCAAGAATATGCCAAGGGCATCCCTGGTCGCTGAGATAAGTTGCACTGCACATTACAGGCTGGTCAGGCCGCCAAATTTCAGCCAGTCGGCTGCACGCAAACCAAATGCTAGCTTCCCGCCACTGATCATGGGTGTGAAATTTGATCAGGGTGCCTTTGGTGGACATTCAGGTGGAGATTCATGTCCACCAACCACTTTGGAGGTGGTTACTAACATGCCAAAATGTGAAGCCATATCAACACACCATGTGACTCGCAGCCTGACTAGACAAACGACAGGACAAACGAAAGCAAAGCATGCTGCTGCAGAGCATGTTTGCGCTCTGGTCAAGCGGAACCCCGCCTTGACTTTCCAAAGCTTGGCTTTGAATACGGGCGCAAACCTCAGCACGGGATTCGTACCGACTAAGCCTTCGATCGCGAAAAGTGATCACCTTCAGCCAGAGGGCGAATTGTTCGGATGTTGAAAGGCAGCCGGACTTTGGTACAATGCAAGCTCCACATTCCAGCAGAATCTCTGGGAAATCACTCTTTTCATAGGATATGATGTTCTTGTCACTCACACCCGGGGAAATAAAGCATCATTTCCCGCAACCATGTTTTGGCCCTTCAGTCAAATGAAGAAACCCACCTAGAAAACATGAGTGTGCCAACTCCCACAGCAATGATCCTGTTTCAAACACCTATAGACATTCATTGACTCTCTAAAACCATGACATATCCCGGGAAACTCAAGCAGCAAGCCTGAAGTCGCAGGTCAGCCTGAAGTGGACCGGTTGACACAGATTGAAAACAGAGCCAAAGCTGAACCTTCAGAATTCGAGCTTGTCCTAAACGAACATACCGTAATTCAACGAAGTTCGCATAGGTTACTGTAGCAGCTGCAGCAGCGTAAGACTTCGACGCGCCTTTGCAAAAAATGGGCAATCAGCAAGGCCAACCTGGCACTAACCATTCTTAAACACGCTGAGTATGAGCCCACTATCTGGAAAAATCCAAACGAAGGTTATTTAGCTTAGACTGTCGCATCCCGAAGTGGGTGGTCCCTTTGCCACCGGGGAAGATTGGCATAACTACCCGAGAAAACCTGCACTTTTCGGCACATGTTCCCAAAGGACAACCCTGATCCAGAACAAACTACCGTGATACAGGTGGTGACTCCAGAGAGGACGCGAAAGGTCGGAGTGCTGTTTGAAACCAAGGTTGGGCCAAGTGTTTAAAGCACGTTCAACCTGCAGAACTGTTCAGCGGCTACCCTTTTCTGCCCGATAACAAAAAGACCGTCATCCGGTTGAATAAGCAGTTGAGCTTGCAACACGTCTGGGTTTCAGGTGATGGTGAGTGATGCCTGGGCGGCTGGTCCGTGGCAATTCTTTCTTAGAGTGGCCAATGAAAGCAAGCAGCTGATCTTTCTTGTCCTCGCCGACCTTAATCCTTCTGTTCTTCACATTCAGCCTGCGAGCAAAAAAAAAACGAAGTGCCCAAAATTCCAAGGCTCGGGCGAGGAACGAATTGCGCATACGAGGGGTACATGTTGTTTGGTTCATAGGTGCAGCCTTACATGTGGCACACAGCCACGGAACCGCATCCCAGTACTTTCAGTCAACGTTCGGGGCCATGACACTGGCATACCTCATGGATATCTAAGTCCCTAGGGGTTGATGACACGTCTCAATCACACCAAATGGGTCGGTCGTTTTTTGGGGCAACCGTTTTCAGGTGTGTCAACTAAAAACTAGAAGAAACACCATCATGTTTTGGGGGTCCCTTAAAAAACACACACACACACACACACACACGCACACACACACACACTTACACACACACTGACTTACAAACACTTACACACACACACACACTTACACACACACACTTACACACACACACACACTTACACACACACACACTTGCGCACACACACACACACTTACACACACACTTACACACACACACACACTTACACACACACACACACACTTACACACACACACTTACACACACACACACACACACACACCACGCACACACACGCGCACACACACACGCGCACGCACACGCACACGCACACACACACACACACACACACACACACACACACACACCCACAACACACACACACACACAGACACACACACACACAGACACAGACACAGACACAGACACAGACACAGACACAGACACAGACACAGACACAGACACAGACACAGACACAGACACAGACACAGACACAGACACAGACACAGACACAGACACAGACACAGACACAGACACAGACACAGACACAGACACACACACACACACACAAACACACACACACACACACACAAACACACACTCGCGCACACACACACACACACAACTGGCACTATGTCTTCCGAGTGCGTCCCGGCTGTGATTCGTCAATCGTTCTCTCCACCCTGCGCAAAATACACCAAGGTGCAGGTACAAGAAAGCGCATGGTCACTCATTCAGGAGTAACATCGTGTCTTTAGCTAGCATGTTACAACACGACATGATACCAACATTGTGCAATATAAGAGAGTGTCAGACAAAAATAACTCAACCAACAATACTGGAGAACCATCTTCTGCGGAGAGGGTTGCAATTTGAGAAAAAACACAAAAAGCCAAATGGCTAGCAACCATATGTAACGATGCGAATCGCTGCATGAACCGAGTTTTGAATTTGGAAACAGGTGCTCCTTCCCCTGCACTCCCAGCCTCTTCGCGAAACCCCAATGCATCGTACAAAGCCAGTCAATCCCTTAATTACCCCAAACACACAGGGACAGGGGGAGGGGTGGGGGAGAGTGTCTGACCACCTTTGCGTTACAGGTGGCCCTTAAAAAGCAAGTGACTCACAATCAAAACCCGGTATTAAAATGGTCTACCCAGAACCGTGTAAAGAATTAAGAAGGCGACCGCAACTATTTCTGGCTGGGACTGCCCCTTACTACCCTTCATCTACCCGGGTATTGAGCAAGTGGCGCAAGTGAACCTTGTTCTCCTCTTTGCCCAGCCAGGCAACCAGCATGTCAGCTACTTCTCTTGAACCCCCGGGGGCCTGAACTGCTTGATCTCAGCCGCGACGTCGCCACCCAAGCGCATTGTCTGGATGGCGCCTGGCGCGAAAGCACATGCACGCATAGTTGGCCACTTTGAGTAATACCGATGTATGTTTTTGGAAAAATGACTCTCCCCCCTAAAAAGGTTTAAACAACAGCAAAAAAAAACAACACAACAAGAACAAGAACAAGAACAAGAACAACAAGAGCAACAAGAACAAGAAGAAGAAGAAGAAGCAGAAGAAGAAGAATAAGAAGAAGAAGAAGAAGAAGAAGAAGAAGAAGAACAACAACAACAACAACAACAACAACAACAACAACAACAACAACAACAACAACAACAACAGCAACAGCAACAGGAACAGCAACAGCAACAGCAGAAGCAGAAGCGACGACGACGACGACGACGATAGATAGACTCAGATTCTGATACGAGAAGAGTCCACCCCCTCAATCTTTGACTCAGGGAGTGTCCCTAGAAAGAAGGCGTCCGGGCAAACCCAAACAAAGCCCCGATTAATTGTGCGTTGGTTGTTCATCAGCGGGATCAAATAAATCTGGGTGGAGTTATCATCCATTCGCCAACGCAATCTAAGGAACCATCACCATGGAGCCCGACAAACAAAGCTGCTTTGCGCCTCTTTTCCTCATGTCGAGGTAAGTGTCTATTTTGCTTAGATGCAGGGCAGGCTCAAGCAGGCCGCGCGCACCGTCCATGTTGGCAGAGTGGATCAGCAATCCAGTCCACTTCGAGAACCTGGAAATGTGCCGGGAAAAAAACATCACCCTCACTTGGTTGCTGCAACGACCCCCCTGCATTTGTTTTTACCTTTTTGGGGTTTAGTGGAAAACCCTTGATTTCCCAACAAGTTAAAGTCTAAAGATTCAACCCAATAGCAGTCACCCTAATGACTGACAGGCAGCAATCGCCTACTGGATGAAATGCCATGCGCTTGACATGTAAGTAGCATGTCATTGTTGGACCAGTAGAAGTTTGGAAGCTTGACATTGAGCCATGGTCAGGACTCCCATTCTACGTCAATGTCCTTTGTCCTTACACCGCCAACACCCGCACCCGGAGACTCGATGATGTCAAAAAATATGTAGCGTGGATGCTTGCAATCCCATGAGTAACAATCTATACTCATGCAAGTTGAAATGGAATCCACTTGTTGGAACGCAACCTCCTCCTGCAGTAAGCAAAGCTTGTACGCCTTTCTCGCTTCCTTTTCTTTGTCTGAAGGGCGGTTGGTTCCTATGTCCTTGTTCAACCTTTCTCTGCGGAGCCCACAAAGACCCGCCCAAAAGACTCCCACTCTTGGGCCACATTTAACTGTCTTTTCTTGAAGTTGGTTGGTACCCTTCTGGGATTGTGTTCAAGGGAAACCACATTTCCAAGAGTCCTTTTGTAAGAGACTGGCAACTTGTTAAGCTTGTTCAGCGAGCCTTCGCGATATTTCTGAGGACGCTGAAGGGAGCCCCTCTTTTGTGAGATACGTCCGTATGGGGGACTCCTCATCCCGGGCACCCAAACGAATTCTCCGAGGTATCTCTTTGCTGGGGACCCTCTGCACATCAAATCTTCGGGATTTACGCCGCAACCGCAACTGTGCGTGATCCCCGCCAGATGAAGATGCGGAGAAAAGGTTGCGGCCCCAAGTTTGGACTCGGCTCCCAACTCTTCCGGAGACTCCGCGGAAAAGCACAAGTTCACGTCCTCCGGGCGATGTGCTGGCGGCCCAACAAAACATCCAAATGCGGGTCCCCCATGTCTTAGTTGTGAGTTGATACTTGTTGTGTGGCTTTCAAATGCTTCCAAGGTGAACCAAAATGAAACCAATTCTTGGGCTTCCAAGATCATGTCGAAGTGGGGACCCTGCACATGAACTCCTTCATGGTTCTCTCTGTGGGACACCTTCAAATTGCCCTACTTTCTGGAAAACTGGATGGCACTGGCAAAAAGACCATCTGCACCAAATGAAGCAAGTGTCATCATTATTCAAACTGACCTAAGAGCGCACCTATGCAGACAGCTTTTCGTGGAAGGAACCGAGCGCAAAATCAGTGAGCCAGACTTCGCCGTCCTTCTCGTGCTCATCTTGGTTCATACACTCCAACCTGACAGCGTGAAAACCCGAAGCTGACAGTCATGGTCGGAAATTGCCCTCGTGCTAAGACAAGTGAGTCGTTCTCAAAACCTGAAACTAGCAGGGTCTTGACATTGGATGCTAATTTACATGCATCGTAACCAAACATCCAAGCTGTGACATTGAAGGTATATATACAATTATGATGCTAATTGTTATACACCGTAAACAACCCTTCAATTTATTGTAAAAGTATATGTCCAAAGCTATTGCCAATAAGATTCATTTGATATATATATATATATATATGTAGTAACATCTACCCAGAACCATGTGAAGACTTTAACCTGCGGGTGTCCGCACCCATTTATCTCGGTTGCGTTCTGCTCCCCTGCTAAAAGTTTAACTTTTAGTGGCTTAATGGAAAACCCATTAGTTGGCAAAAAGTTAAAGTCCTAACATCCCTTGAAATGGGATTGTTGCCTTCATCTACCCGACTCGATTGTGAGGACGTGGTTCAAGTGAGATCTCCACGCACGTGACTTTGTCTCTAACCATTCACTAACTGAAGGGGATACCCTGGCTCACATGCCCAGGCCCAGTTGATTTCCATGGGACAAAAGGGCATCCTTTCTTGGTTGGTTGAGTGTAAAGGGGAACCATCCCAAAACAAAAAGGCCGAAACAAGGGCGGAAGCCACTGGGCAAGTGGGCTGGCAAATCACAGGAAGCGTCACCACTCTGTGCTCAACCCGGCTGACAGCTTCATGGCTGTGCCCCAAGCATCCAGTCGCTTGATGTGCAATCCCGGCCAATGCTTCTGCTCCGAACTTGCCGCACAAAGACAAGTACTCGTCATGGCACATGCTGGATGAAGGCATGTGTTTGGCATCTGCAGATCAAAGGAGAAAGGCGCAATCCAATGTGTAGATTGATCATACGATTGTGTGAATTCATGGTTGACAATCTCATCAACCAAAACCAAGTCGCAATGATGAATGAAAGCATTCAACTAGTATCGGAGAGCCGCCCCAACCAGTGGCGAAAGGATGTGTATATGGCTGGAATTTTCAGTTGTTTAAGGGATCAATCAGGATTGAGTAATTCAGGATTCACATTGCCACACGGATAAGCTCTGTGTGGAGTAGGTGCACCTGCTTAATGATACCATACCACATGCATGTTGCCTATAGCAGTCTTTAATCACTGTTGACAGTAGTACTGAGCAGGGGAACATGTTTTCTACCCCAGGCAAGCTACGAGGACCCTGCAACAAACCTGTGTGCAAAGCCTTTCAAAAGGCAGGCTCGGACATAGGACAAGTTGAAGATTATCAGATTGTATCAAGCAAGGGATAAGAACGGCATGTGTATTAAGGAAGATTGTTCAGAAACAACTTCCGCACATCTTGCATTTGCTAAAGCCCCCTGGATAGAAAAACAATACTCCAGTCGTGATAGATTCCCATTAAAACCAACACGGACAAGTCAAAACATAGTCTTAAGCAAATGGAAAACAATTGCCGGTGATATAGAAGGGAAACAGCGCAACGTCTGCTCAGACGTCGAAGGCGATTCCGCCTGAATGCGAAGTCCCTTGCGGCGCCGGTCAGTGGTGAGACCTCGCAACGGCAGTGGAAGGGCAGTGGACCTTGGGGGTCACTGGACTTCCCCAAATCGAGAGTGGTTTCCCATGAAATATCATATCCGTTTGATGGCTTTCCATGAAATATCATATCCTTCTAGTGGTTTCGCATGAAATATCATATCCTTCTAGTGGTTTCCCATGAAATATCATATGCTTCTAGTGGTTTCCTATCAAATATCATATCCTTCTAGTGGTTTCCCCGATGGTCCCTTGTTTTACTGGACCTTTTGATCACCCATGTGGGTCATCGGAATGATTTCCCCGCAAAAGTTGATCCATTTGCGGGTGTCCATTGAAGCGATCGCCACCTTTTCAGGTGTCAAACGGTTCCGAAGGAGGCGAAACCGCTGCAAAGGCCTTGCTTCCCAAAACTGGGTTTCTGTAACGACCCCTTTGCAAAAAGCTTGACTTGTTGTGGGTTTAGTGGACAACCCCTCCCCTTGATTTCCCAGAAAGTTAAAGTCTGGAATCCAAACCAATAGCAGTCAAGAAAAGAAAAGGCTGCTTCTGACAAAGTCCAACTCTTGACTGGGCTGCCCTCAGATCCTCCGCTAAAAGTGACTAACTTTTAGTGGGTTAAATGAAAACTACCGCTAAGCACTAAAAAGCTAAAAGGTTAAGGGGATGGCTGGGAGCCACCAAGTTGAGTGTCCAACTGGTTTCCCAAGGTCGAAAGCGAAACCACCAGGGGGCCTAAGAGTTTTAAACTCCCTATGCGTGCCGTGTCAGTTCTTTGAGGCCCAACCCGTGTCTGTGATCAAACAAGCGCCTCAAGGCCAGAGTCTGTCGAAGGACACATTAATTCTGGCTTCAAATCGCAAACAACACCCAAGCTTTTTGGACCCTCTTCAAGTAGTACAAGTAGTCTGTCCAGGTTCCAGTCTGAAGCATCTGACGCACTTGTTCCATCTTGCATCGGTTGAAATTCGAAGCGAATCAAGCGCAAGTGACCTATTGCGAGCCTAGCATGTTTGCTGTTTAGCTTCAGTGGTCGATCCTCAAATGCAGTTCCATTTTGTAGGACACGCATGCCTGGACTTGGACGACTGAAACTATTGTTGACTCTTGACACCAGCAAAAGGACCGCCCCCTTGAACAAACAACAGCACTCTCCTATGGGATGAGACTTAAGCGTTGCGTCCACAAGCATGCCGGTCTTTCGCACCTGTCTCCTTATTGCAAGGAATTATCACATTCTGGGATACTCTCCCACCAATTAACATGGAACTTGACAGGGGATCCCTTAACAAGGAAAATGGTCTTCCAGGACACCCTGTCAGGTTCCATGTCAATTGGGTGGAGAGTACTTTGGATATGGGTCGTTTTTTGACGGTACCCTTTTTGGGGTTGGTTTGAAAGGAAACTTCAGGGAAACCAACCATTTTTGGGGGTACCCTAAAAAATGACAAACCCATAGTGTCTATATACACCATGTTGCTTTGGATCTAGGTAATCATGAGCAACCAGGGAAAACCGTCGTATCACCCCGGGGTAACCTCCAAATAAGGCGAATTTCGGGACCCATGTTGCGTTTTCTCCAGGCATTCTTCAACTCAGACAGTCTGCCACACTTTCAACGTCCAAAGAACTCGCGTCTGCAAACAAGTCATGTGGGTGTGCCACGTTTGAAGGTACCACGGTACCACCTTTTGTGTGGTGTTTAAAGGGAAACTGAAAGGACAAACGGAAGCAACACACACCACACACACGCACACACTTCTGGAGGTTGATCAAAAGGTCCTTTACACGGGACGACCATTGGTTGGAAAGCATGAGAAAAGTTAGCCATGGTCTAAACTGGGGGCCGAAGGAAGTCTTGATCAACCCCCATTTTAAGTGGCAAAGTAATGTAAAGTAGCTATAGGGATGGGGTTCCCCCCACGTTGGCCCAAACGTAGTTTGCACAACGTGCTGAACAGGGATCCTTACATTATACACCTAAACATTGCAACTTGTAAATGCTGGTTTCCCCTTTATTTTGGTGTCGAAAAAGCAACATGTTTCAAATGGTTGCAAGATGTATCTATCTTTTCAGGAGCCCTGTAGAGTGGACAGTTCCCCGCAGTAAACGCAGTTCACAGGCGGATCCACGTCAGATGTGCTAAAAGACGCGCCCACGAGCCCGTCGTTGCGACTTGGCCAAAGCGGAAAGGTTTCCGGGCCCCGCCTTGGCACCCGCCAGCTTCGAACCGTCCACCAAGACCAAGCCTCCAGCGCCGCCCGTGGCGCAAAGGCGCGGAGTATGGATTCTGAAAGGAAACCAAGCGTTTGAAGGATGGGTTCTCTGTGAAACCAAAAGGAAACCGCAGGCGCTCAATTTTGCCGACTTTGTGAACACGAAGTATGAGGTGACCGGCAAGGCTCGTAAAGAACTCGCGGGGATCTGGCTCAGAATCCGAATCGTACCCCCAGTGAACATCCAAATCCCCACTAAAATAGACTAAAATGAGTGGTGCACCCACCCCACACAATTGGATTGACCCACAGCCATATTGTCATGCTCCCTTGGGTCAGAATCCTCAGAATGGTTGTCCATGTTTTGTTTCAGGGGCATAGCCGCCCACGAACCTCGCTTTACCACAGTGTTGATGTTTCGCTTCAGCAGAGTTTAGATTTTCCCCGCTCACAAAAGGGCTTGCCCAGTGGATAAGTAAGAAGTGACTTCACTTGATTGAGATGGAGAGATTCCATACGAGACATCGCATCGTTTCTGGCAGTAACGAGAAACTGCAGCAGGTGTGGAAGTCTCAATGACTCAATGACTGAAGGAAGCTGTGTGGCATCATGCGGCTGGTTCAAGTGCACCGATGGATGCAATGCGATCGCTTTCAATGCCCAACATACGCACCAGGCCACAGGGAGAGCAGTTCGGCACGACAAGAGTCTGCAAAAAGCACGTTGCAGAAACAGTCTCAGTCTCCTCGTCACAAAATTCAGCAAAGCCTGCGCTGTCAAAATGGACTTCTGAGATGCTGGAAAACAGCTCTTGTCAACCATTTAAGTCAAAGTATATGTGGGTATGTCTTTTTTTGAGGGTCCACCTTCTTGGTGGTTTTACATAAGGGAAGCCAAAAGGAAGACCGCCATTTTAAGGAGGGGTCCGGCCCAAGGAAAAAAAATCACATATCCCATTTCTGCAAGCCTTAAAAGGAATCCTGGACCTGTTTGGCCTGTGGCCCCCTGCGCTTGTTCTCCTTGATGCTGAAGTAGCACAAGGACCCGTTGAACGCCACCTCAGAGATGGCAAACATTGCATCCTGAGAAATCACCTGGATCTGCTTCTGAAACTCGGTTGCTTTCTGCTCCCCTGCTAAAAGTTTAACTGTTGGTGGTTTTATGGAAAACCCATTTGTTGGCAAAAAGTTAAAGTCCTAACATCCAAGCAGAATGCACCAAAGGAAATGTGCCTGTTTCAGGTGCGCCTTCAATCTTGACCCTCAACATCGAATTTCAGTCCTTTTGGTTTCCGTAAGGAAACACTGCTATATAAGGCGACAAAGCACAAACAAAAACAAAGTAGACAAAACAATGAACAACCGCACAGCACACAAACAGGTGCCCCCAAAGAAAACATGGAGGGGCCGAAGAACCAAAGGACCTGTAGAGAAAAATGGGGGAGTCCTCAAATGACGTTTGGTGTTCTCTTCGGATTCTCCTTTGAACCGCAAGAGGAAATCCACTCTTGCAGGCGCTAGACTTGAATCAGCACGATCCAGCGCCCTGCTGATTTCCAAGGCAAATTGCCCCTTTGTTTGAGCCCTGTTTGGCGAAGCTCGACAAATCACAGTTTGGCCGATCCTACCGGGAAGCTCCAGAACAAACCTCGGGAAGAAACACTAGCCATGACAGCGGATCTCCGGAGACTGGCCAAGGAGACTTTGGAGTCATATTTTTGCAGTATTGGGAACCCAGGGATGGATCAACTGGGATCCCATGTCTTGTCTTCCTTTGCCAGGGCAATTTATCCGGGCGTCCTCAGAAACCTAAACGAAAACAAAGCAACAAGGTGGAGCATAGTCGACGAACCCCCCTGGTGCTGGCCACTGCTTGTGAGGATCAGCCTAACTCACTGAGTACAACTAATTGGAACTGGAGTAGACTGCGAGCGGCCCAAAGCTGAGGCTTCAGCCCACATGTCGCGTTTCAGCCAGTGCGTCTTTTCCTATCACAAGTTGCGACTCGCCGCGCGGACGGCTTCCCAGTCACGTTTTGCGGCTCTTGGCGCTGCTCGGAAACGAAGAACCAAACGGATCCAATCCACCTCCAAAGTCACCAAACTTTGGGAAAACCAATTGGCGGGGATACGGGGGAAGCGGGGATGTGCGAGGACTCTTTGTAAAGGAAACCATTATATACCATGTCTAAATATTACCTGAAAGATATGCCCACATCCCTGCTTCCCCTGCATTCCTGCTTGCTTGTTTGTCTGAAAACCTTCCTTGGTGCACGTGCGTTGCACGAACAATATTCTGGATGCCAGCAAAAAAAATAAACGGCACGCACGGAGCAAGCGACCCCCCCCTCCCCCGATTTTTCCGCCATTTTCCCAGGAATGTGGTTGGACGTTCACTTGCAACATGTGGGCGCCCAATCAATGGCGGAGCCCACGCACACAAACCTGTGTTTTCATTTGGACCAACCAAATCCGGAAAGCCGCAACATGCCCCAGACCCAACGCAAGCTTCACTCCTTGGCGTCACCGTCCGTGTTCAGCTTCCACAGGGTGCCCTTGTACAAGGGGACCTCCGGAGCTCCGAGCGGGGCGACGGTTCCCCGCGGTTTTTGGCTGCGGACTGTTCTCCTTGTACGTCAAGCAAAATGGGGAAAGGTCCTGTGGTTAAAACAAGCCCTTGCTGTAAATACCAGAGTGGGATTCCCATCCCTACTGCGCAGTGACTCGAAAGGAAGACGCAAAAAGGAAACCAACACCATGTTTTTCTACAACCCATTCAGGCTCCCTGTTGCTCAACCACAAAGGCGGCTCAAAGGCAAAGATTGCGCAACTGCAATCAAACAAATCGCGACCATGGGATGAACCTTGCGTGTCGAGGCCTTGCTGGAAGTGTCCTCGATACGGTTCCGGGTGGTCCGGTCCACTTTCTCATTCACCGGCAAGTGCGGGGCTTCCTGGCGGCGTCGAAAAGAAGCAGCGACTGACCGTGCCATAGACTCTCTAGGTGGCCGTGGATGAACTAGCTTCTATGGTTGCCAGGGGCCCTCCAAAAAGGAGACCCCTAGAAATGGTCCCCGAAACAAACCCTCTTATTGGGATTGGGGAGCTCAAGAATGGGGGGCCCCTTGACAACCATAGGACCCATACTAACAAGTGAATGATCCACCTTACGAACTCCAACTGGCTCCAAATGATGATCACCGGGGGTTGCATGCTCAGCGGGTTGCTTTCCTTGTGGTTTCTCCATCCAAACGAGGCTCCCGATGTGACACAAACTGATCAAGAAGCCTCCCTGCAGCAGAAGCTCACATGCAGCCAAAGGCATTGGCTTTGTACCTTCAGATTAAGTGCAGTGGAACCGGACCAATGACTTCTAAATGTTGTTCCGAAGCTGCTACCCTCTTCCAGTCATGTGAACAAAATCCATGTCAGTTGCTGCCAAACCGAAGCCTCCAGATTGGTAGATCCGTACCAGCGCCCAAAGCCCACTTGGTCTTGGTTCCACCGAAATGGTGTTTGAATATCTATGTGGGTCTTGCTATGACCCAACATTCAGCCAGTAGATATATGCAGTTTACAGGGATCCTTGAACCGGACACCCTTTGGAAAACGGAAACGCATGCACTTCATCGGCTTGACACTTGATGTTCCTACACTGGAGCTAGGCCTTGCAACATTTACACTCCCACCAATTAATTAACATGGAACCTGATGTTTCGGGGTCCTGGTTTGGACCATTTTTCATTTTAAAGGGACCATTTCCCGAACGTCAAGTTCCATGTGAAAAAGGTTGGAGGGTACATTCGCTTAACCCCCTGGAAAAAAATGGACATGTCCAGTAGTCTTAGCGATAGACTCCCTTTAAGACCGACCAGGGAAATTAAAACCATTCAGCAACTGAAAGTTGCTGTCCACTGTTCGCGAAATGTGAATCCCTGCGAAAAGATGCAAGTATGTCCGTGCAGTAGTGATAGATTCCCTTCAAACACCGCAAGACCAATGTGAATCGCTGCACCTGGGTGGCTCCCGAAAAGTGCCCCACGCCCCGGAAATTCGAAAAGCCCGGAAAAGCCCGCTCCGACTGAGCGCGGTCCACGCCCGACTCTTTGGCCACCTGACGCAGAAAAGCGCAAACGTCGAGCTGTGGGGCTTGAAATCAGGGTTTGCCGTTTCGACCGAAATGAACAGCCCCCCTTGAAAAGGGTTTCTGCACCAGAAAGGGTGCGTGTTTATCCCACCAGTGGAAATGGCAAATGGCTTCAAAAGCCTTTACCAAAAACCATTTGTCCGCGCTTTACCAAAAACAGTGTGATGTGCTTTAGGTTTTTGAGGCTCCTGGCCTTGACTTGTTGGAAGCCCAACATGGTTCTTGGGCACTGATTGGAGGGAGGCGTCCATGCCCCTTCCATGAGTGAGAGACTATACTTTCCACTCATGGAGTTGTTTGGTGAATGTGCCCCATCGTGACCCTCAAGAACAACGCAAATGACGGTACATATTGTCCAATGCTCTGAAGAAAACATCGTGACTTGAGCTCCTCACAAGCTACACTCGCTCTTGCCTCAGCCATGCTGGCACCTTCACGGTCGGCCCAGGAAGCCGTCGGAGCCCAATTCAGACAGGAAGCGAGCCCTTTGGAGGACAATTCCGAAGGCGGCTCTAAGCATGGGAATGCGCTTGACGCGCTGTTGGTTCTGGGCGGCTGCTTGGTTGCTTGCTTGGTTGCCTGGTTGGGTGGTTGGGTGGTTGGTTGGTTGGTTGGTTGGTTGGTTGGGTGGTTGGGTGGTTGGGTGGTTGGTTGGTTGGTTGGTTGGTTGGTTGGTTGCCTGGTTGGGTGGTTGGGTGGTTGGTTGGTTGGTTGGTTGGTTGGTTGATTATTGGTTGGTTGGTTGGTTGGTTGGTTGGTTGGTTGGTTGGTTGGTTGGATGGTTGGTTGGTTGGGTGGTTGGTTGGTTGGTTGGTTGAGTCGTCCGTCGGTTGGTCAGAGTCGATTATGGTGGTTCGCTGCTTCTTTGTTTCTTGTTCATCTGGTTGTTTGCTTGCTTGTTGGTTGGCTGGCTGCCTGACTGGCGTGCGTGCTTGTTTGGCTCGGGTTTGGTTTAGTTTGGCATGGTTGTTTAAGCTTCCTGAAATCCTCGATCAACATTAATAGCCAATGCAGCCTTTTGGCAAAGCCATGTAACTTTGTGTAAACCCAGGGGGCCAACCAATTGAGTGTTGCTTAGAATTCAAGAGCCTAGGTATCTAAATTATCAAGCACATGTGGCTATTGAAGGTCAAACACCCAACCAAACACCAGCCAAAGGTATCATGCGAACGTCGTAAAGATGCCAAATGGATTGATTGTGCCACCAGGGAACCACCCCTACTGAGTTCAGTCTGCAGATGTCCACGGTCCAGTCCTCGTTTTGATCTGGCAAGCTTTGATTCCACAATCCGCAGCTGACGTTGCCCGACTCCTGTGGCCTTCAAAGAAAATCAACTCCTTCAAAGGAAGAATCGTCGCCGGTCTGAGGCTTTCGTTGCACGTCGTGAGTCGTTCTTGGCGCATAGCTGACAGGGCGTTGCCTCTCAGCGCCTTTTTTCACACCTACAAGAACCTCCGCGACGAAACAATGCGCTCTTGATGTTGACTGACCCATCCAAAGAAGAAGCTCAAACAGCTCACAAAACACGGAAAACATGCAGAGCACAACGTGGCCTTGCGCCCGGGAACATACGTGAACCCAGCGCAAACGTTTGTCATGTTCCAAACGATCAAATTGTGGTTTCAACTCACAGTTGAAACAAGATGTTTGGAAAGGTTTTGAGTTTTGATTACCTAGTTCTGCCCTTTCACTATTTGCCTCGTTTGCCTTGGCAATGCAAGTCTAAAGATACATTGTCCCCTGCTGCCATACTGGCTCAGCCTGTCTGCAATGCTCAAGGCAACAGCAGCGCAAGTGGATATTGTTCTCTTTGGCCTTGGCTAATGCTCATTGGGGGGTTGCTACAGTGGATGGGCGAAATCCATTTCGCACCACCTAAAATAAACCCTGGAATGATGATTGCCCGGAAAATACCAACAAGCAATGGTTCAACCATGGCCAAAAACCAGGTGGTGCGACATGTTTGCTACCACCATCCGCAGATTCATGTATGATAAAGGTCCTTTACAGGGACAGCACCTGAGTCGCAATCAAAACCCGGTATTAAGATGATCTACACAGAACCATGTAAAGAATTAAGAAGGCGGCCGCAGCTATTTCTGGCTGGGACTGCCCCTTACTAACCTTCATCTACCCGGGTTTTGAGCAAGTGGCTCACCTGACTTTCACCACATGGGAAGAATCCGAGTCTGCCTTGCAGTTTCCCCGGCTTGCTTCTCGATCCCCCGGCCTTCTCCCTGTCTGACTCCAGGTAAGGATCGGACAGGCACTGCGCCAGGGTCTTCCTAGCAAAGGCCAGAGGTTCTTTTGGCTCGTTCAGAGGTATTAGAGAACAAGGATGCATCCTTTTGCCATCCTTTGCCATCTCTTCCCACCTTCCGCCACCTCTTCCCATCTTTTGCCAGCTCTGCCCCGAATCGGAGGCTTCCGGCACTTCTACCGGCACCTTCATGTTCGCCAAATGGGGAATCGGGAACCCAACGATGTCTGTGCCAAGGGGGAGCCACGCTAGCAACTAATGACAAACGTCGCAGAGCAAAGCCAACACCGTGGTCATGAACCATGCCTCACAATCAACATGTGAGCTGCCAGTGCCAAGCAGCACCCATCGGAGGGTAACAAGGGTCAATTGAATTGCACGGGGAGGGACTTCGGACCCGATTTTGTGATACACGTGACTGCGAAAGCAAGCAAGCAATGAGCATCCATCACCATTCAGACGGCTTGCAAAGGACCATACAATATTTTCATGTGCTCATCCAGCCTATTGTACCAGCGGCAAACTTCGACATCACGAATCCAGCTTGTTTAGACGATTCTTCAAAGCTCCCTAATAGCCTGGAATCTTCAGAAGAAGTGCCTGTTACCTTTGTTGCTTTTTCAGGGGACGAGGTGCCCTAAGTTGCATCGCCTTCCCGAGGAGCGGAGTGGGATACTAAAGTCGGAATCCAACCGCACAGCGTGTTTGTCACCTTAACTGAGATTCTGAGATTCCTTATCATACATTAAGGAGAACACGGAAACCCAAGGATCGAGTGTTCAAGGTTCCCTTGAACCTTGTTGGTTGTCTAACCTGCAGGAGTTGACTGTCCCTAACCCAAACCCTAAACCCTAAACCCAAATGAGAATCTGGCATGGCTCAAAATCCAAAGCCCGTGCCCCCAGTGAACATCCCAATCCAACCACTAAAATAGGTTCTAAAATGGGTGGTGAATTCACCTACCCCAAAATGGGATATCATTGGTTTTCACCCACAGCCATCTGGTGAGACTGGCCCATGGCATTAATTTGCTACAGTCAAGCCCTGCTCGTGTCAAAACAAGTCCCATGCAACATGTTTCGGGACGCAACATCACAGTTTCTTCCTCAAAGGCGCCCCTGACAACCCCCCCAAAAAATAAAAATAAAACAAAAAAAACACTGCGACCAGCCGGCAGCCGTTGCGTTGACCCATGCCCAGGCCTGTTGGTCTTGTCACACACCAGCAGTGAGTTGATCAGCATATGGTGAAAGGCCGGATCAAACCTGGAGGTTGCTATGCAGCCCCAAGTACCCTGTCAGAAAAATCTACTCGTGCTTGCCACAGACTATGAAACACCTGCCGTGTCAGGAAAAACACGAGGGTCTTAACGCTGTTTTTGACTGCGTGACATGAATGAGATTGGCACTTCAAAACTGGTGAGCGAGAAACAATACTAGCCCAGGCGAGGCGCTCTTTGCATCATGTCAAGCTCGCCTCCGTATTCAGAACTGCCAGGTAACAACAAGAAACTCACTCCGAGGGTGACACCCGCGCAAGAAAAGTGCCAAAACGGGACTTGAGCTTGGCCAGCTCAGAATTGCAA